ACTTGCTAGGCAAGAGCTCAACCACTGAGCTAAGTCTTCAGTCACTGACCTATATGAATATAATTACTCTCCATCTTTCTAATATCCAGTTGAATTCAGCCAATGGGAAATATGAGTTGAAGATCAGAGAAAGGGAGTAGAGATCGGATAATTTTCCTTCTGATTCACTTTGTGGGAGGTCACTCTGGATTTTCTATATTCTGACAACATTTAATAATCCTTTTAAAGTGGACCTGTCTGTCTGATTGTTTAAACTTCTTTCCTGTCAAAGTTCTGGCTGTAATAGTTATGACAGCTGCACTGTTACAAAGACCAGGTTCTCATACCATCACTTATTTTACACCTTTGAATTAGCTCCTTTGTAAATTGTTTGATTTGTGCCAATTTGAGTTTGCCATCTGCTTCTTGGCAACCTGACTGTTGTGGTAATTGGTACCAGAACAACTCGCTGATGATTAATTTATGTATCACCTCGGTTATGCCACAGTGCCCAGCTATGCAGTGAAATATTATTTTGGATAATTCTGTGAAGATGTTTCTGATTGAGATTTATATTTGGGTATATTTGAACTCTGAGTAATGAAGATTACCCTCCATATAGGAGAATGCCTTATTCAATCAGTGGAATGCCTGAATAGGGCAAAAGGAAATCCTTCACCAGAAAGGATAGCCTTTGGATTTTATCTGCAAAATTGGCTTCTCCTGGTTTTAAAGTAGACCGCCTTTGAAATTTAATTGCAAACTGCAGCTGTTTTCTGAGTCTGCACCCAGTTTGGCCTATCTTATTACCTTTTGAACCTACTAAGCTTTCATAATTATGTGAACCAATTCCTTAAGATAAATCTCTTTACACACACACATACACATCACACATCACATCTTACTGGTTCTGTTTCCCTGAAGAACCTTGATTAATACAGGATATTAGAAAGCAGACTCAGATCCTCACAGTGAAATTCTGGAAAGGAATTGCTCATAGATTTAAGGAGTTCACAGAAAATATTCTTGCTGAGAAAACATGGGGAATAAGTAATTCATTGCATGAAGTCACACTATAATTAACTCATCTCACCTCCAAAGATGAAACGCAGGTGGAGGCAAGGCATAACAGACGTTGAGTAACTGTAGCACTTAGTCTCTGTGACAACAAGATTTTTAATAAACATTGCAGAATCACTTGGTGGCTTATCTTAAACATATATAGGGAAAATATAAATTAAGACTTATGAATATAAGATGAAAAGCATAAATCAAAGAATAAGAAGGCTTTCACAGAAGATTTGAAGAAGTCCTTCATATCTTATAGCTGTGCCACATGAAACTGAGCCATTATTCTGATGACATTAATTGAACCTGTAATTACAGGGACACAAAATATACGGGATGCACAGCGTGAAATGCACTGCTTGACATACAGAAAAGTCCAATCAGTTACTGTATCATTTGAATGTGGGAATAAGTTGGTCATACAATCACCTGAAATGAAAACATAGCTGCAACTGGTGTCCTTCATGTAAGTCAGTGATTAAAAGGAAAAGGCCATCAAGTTGCATGGAATAGATGCTATGATTCCTGCCCCTGTACTTTGGAAAGAAGTTAGATGTTTAGGGAGAAAAGAATAAAGTATGTCAGGTTCCTGAGCTATTTACAATTTATAGTAATATATATTTATAACATACACCATTTTAAATTAATCCTTGTTGAGTATTAGATTTTAAAAGAATTCACTGGTTTTCATAAAGACTGTAATTAATGAATGTATTAATCATTGAAAGGTCTTCAAATATATTATTTTATCCAAATATTACTCCTATCTACTCTCCTGGATAGTCAATTATGTATGTTAAATTTTCTCAAGGTATTCATTTTGTACTTATGCTTTCTTCTACATTTTACATTTATTTATATCTCTGGGCTTTATTTTTAATGTTCTGACTATTTTTTAAACTTCACTAATTAAACCCTCAGTACTGTCTCCACTAATGTAAAACCCATCCATTAAGGTTTGGAAAGGTTTTGTTTTGTTGTGTCGTTACTGCACTTCTAGAAATTCCATTTCACTGGGCGTGGTGGTGCAGGTGTGTGATCCTAGAACTTGGGAGGCTGACCCAGGAGGAATGCCACAAGTTTGAGGCCTGCCTGAGCTACAGAGTGAGTTCAAGGACAGCCTGAACTACATGGCAAGACCGTATCTTTAAAAAAATCCACTGGATAGTTTTATAGTGACTAGTGCTTTGGATGAAATTCTCAGTCTTGTATTCTATCTCCTTGAATAAAGTAAATTTACATATTTAAAGTCTATTTCTGGTAACACCACTATCTAGATCCTTGATTGAATTGTTTGTATTGTCTTTTGGGTTATTGTAATGTTTTGTTTCTTTATGTGCCTAAAGTTTCTTGTGCAAATATTATATGTGAAAATTTATCTATCTAATTTTATCCCTAAGATAATATTTTACTCCTCAGGAGAAAATTTCCATTTGTTTCTGGAAGTTTCCCAGAGGCATTAGTTCTCAGTTCAATTTTAGGGAGTCAAGTGGTTTAAAACTGAGCTTCATCCCTGCAAGATAAAATTCTAGTGTTTCACTCCAAGAACTTAATCCTTAAAATTTCAATTCAAAGTATGATTATTTACCATAATTCCCATTATTCATAGGTCATGGAATGTATTTCTCTTACCTGTTGGCCCATAAGCAAAAAGCTTAGTATCTTCTCCCCACAAGGTGAAAAGTCGTCACAAATGCCATGCTCTGCCTTCTTGGTTTCATTCGTATACTAGATCTTATATCCGTACTTGTTCACAGTCTCAGAGCTCCAATTCCCTAGAGCAATTGCCTGTTATGTTTTGTTCATTCTTTATAGTTGTCAGTGAAAGGGATGGACCTAATTAATTCCACCACCACTCTAAAGAAATCTGGAAATAAAACTTGAATGGTTTATAACGTGAGTCTACATGTTTTATTCGATATTTCTGTGAAGAAGATTCCTCAACAATAAAATTTATTAAGATTTGTAGAAAATAATTATTAAAAACTTCAACAGGAATTACTCATATCTGTTTAAAACACATAATTTTAAAATGTTATATTCATGAAAGCAAGGTCAAGAGTCTCATTAAGACATTTGAACATATTTTATTTGGAAGTCTTTACATATATATTCGCAGCTGAGGTCCCAGGTATCATGGAATAAAGATCTCTTGATATCTGTCAAGCCTTGTTCAAACTTCTGACTAATAGAATTCATGAACGTAATAAAATAAAGTTAGCAAGCTCCTGAATTTTGGAGTAATTTTTTTTACATAGAGATAATAAATGGAGCAACATTTCATCACCTCACTTTATGTTTACTATATTCTACCATATAACAAAAACTGAAAATGTCATAATATGGTCCTTGTTGCTTTCATGGCAGCTGTCAGACATTGATACATCCAGACACAAAGCAGTTTTTTAGGTAAGTAATTTTGGTGTTCACAAAGCTATCACTAAGCCTCTTGATAAGCAGAATTTTATAATTTCTCAAAGAATAATAACAGTAAGAAAAAAACCTTGAAAGAGGATCTGCTTCCTTTATGAATACCAATCACTTTTCTGCAGTAACAGAAAACTTAAAGAATCAGTAACTGCACATTGTCAAGTAAATGCATTATTTGGTTCAATTTGTGACATTAAATGAAAGAATGAAATGGAAGGTCCTGAGATTCAAAAGCCCAGGAGTCTGATTAACAACTATGTGCCCTTTTATAAGTTATTTCATCCCTCTCAATGCTTGTTTCACCTCTAAAGTAAGAGTTGCACACAAAAAGTAATAAATCTTTCAATTATGATTTTGTGGGACAACATAGCAAAGTTGTTGTGCTGGGCTAAATGTTGTCCTTTCCCAAAAATTGTCCAGATAGGAATTTCCAGAACCTATGACTATGCTATCTTTATATATGTGACACTTTACAGATGTGACACTGAGAGGAGAGATGTTTCCAGGTTTAGAGGAAGAAATTATGAGACAACAAATGTAGGCAGTTTCTAGAAGCTGTAAACAGAAAAAAAAAAAAAAAAAAAAGAACTTTGCCTCTCTGAATCCCCCAAAGAAACAGTCCTCTGAGCGTTTTTGGAATCTGATCTCTAGAATGTAAAATGATAAGAGTTTGATGCTTTAGGCCACTAAATTTGTGGTAATTCCACAGCAATAGGAAGGTCGCACATGTTAAGAACTTGGCTCTGCTGCCCGGCTACACTACTTGTGCTTATGTCCTTCTTCTACCACTTAATGAATATATGACCTTAGGCAAGTTACTTAAATACTCTGTGCACCAGTTTAATCTTGAAACAATGAGTAATAAAACAATCCAACCTTCTGAATTAGTGAGGTTTTGAGGAAAAATTTAGGATCATCTGAAAATTAGAAATTTTAAAATACATGTATTCATGTTTCTGCTAAGGTTTATAATTTAGTATATTCTGCCTTTTCCTTCATAAATTATAAATTTCTTTATACATAATCTTGGAGGAAGAGGGATGCAGGAGCATTTACTTTAGGTATTGTGCATATAGCATTGCATCTGATAGGCATGATTATGTTTTCTTATGGAAAACAAGTGAGTAGGGGTGATAATTTTTCTAGGAAACATAGCTAGTAGATAGCATCTCAAAGTTGCTTGTTCACTAGTTTTTAAACTACATTTGCTGGATTACGGTGAATGAGCAAATTATGTTCAAAGAACCACAGCAAAGAGCACTAAGCCAATGTGTAGAGTCTAGACAGGATGACAGGAGGTCACTTCACCTTATCCACACTGGCACCATTCCTAAGTCTTTAACAACCAGATTTTATTTTCAGAAAGGGCGAACATAAACAACAGGGAAAAAGTTCCCACGCTGCCTACTTAGAAGTCTCCCCTAACTCCCAACCCCAAGCCCATCCCCCAGCCCGCCCCAGGTCTCTCGCTGGGTGGAACCATCACGACACAAAGGCGGGGCACGCGAAGGGGTAAGGCCTCTGGCTATAAAAGGGGGCGGGGCCTCCCCGGAGGCCACTGCGCGGCCGCGGAGCTCGACAGGCGCGTTGCTCCGCCCCCGGTGAGAGTCGGAGCCACCATGGAGGAGTACCACCGCCACAGCGACGAGGTACCGCCCCTCGGGCGCCTGGAAGTGCCCCCGCCCCCGCCCCCGCCCGCCTTGGTGCGGGGTCCCTGTGGGGTGGTCTCCCAGCTCAGGGCAGCCCAGAGTGGTGGGATGCGGTGTCCTCTGAACCCGGGTCCTCTGGGCTGGGCCGGGGATCAGCCTCTCCCGTCCCCAGTCCTCTTCGCCGTACTCCGGCCCCCGAGATCCTAAGGGTGGACTGACTGGGAAACTGAGGAGGCCGGAAGCTCTCGGATCAGGCTTTGGGGTTTTAGCAAAGATGGGGAAAACATGAACATGGACTGCCGGGCCCCGCCCGTCTCTCAAACTGGCCTTGGAAACCGGTATTCCCGCTGCCTCCTCCGCTCTTTGGAGTCCTCAGAAGCAGGTGCCCGAGCCCAGCAGCTTGGGGCCCTGGTGGCACAGCCGCGCCTGCTCCTGGGAACTCGCTCCTGCGGGTAGGGAGGAGGGGTTGGAAGGAGGTACTTTACAGATTAGGAGCCTTTGCTTACTAACTCAGGTTTCCTAAGCTTCATCATCTCATGGTGTCAGATGTTACCTATTACTAATGCGAACTGTGACTTCATGGCGACTGAAATGCCCTAAGTTAAAACTGCTTGGAGTGGACAGATGCTCGTTTTTAATTCAGGCCTCTGACAAAACTGCAACAGCTCTAACCTCTTTGTAGCTACTTAAAGGGTGGGGCCTATTGAATCCCAGGATAACGTGTGACAGCCTACAAGGGCAGGATAGACAAAGGCATTTTGTTTACAGTGATGGCCACTGGAGAAGGATGCAGAAAAATATAAACAATTCTGTAGCAGAGATGCAACGTAAAGCAATATATTTGATCCTTGGAAGGGGTTTCTGGTTCAGTGGTAATCTTTTAGGATATGGGCTTTCTGCAGAAGCTGAAACCACATTTAATTAATTTTGGGTCACAGGTACCATACATAGTTAGAGGTTAGTGATAGTCTAATTTTAGAAAATAAAAATTTGAAGCCGGATCAGGTGTAGCATGCCTATAATCCCAGAAGTCTGGAAGGCTGAGTCAGGAGGATCATTAGTTCCATTCCAGCCTGGAGAATGTAATGACATAGTGAGACCCTGTCTCAAAAAAAAAAAAAAAAAAAGACTGGAGATGTAGCGCAGTGTGCAGGCAGATTATTAGATTATTAGGTGACTTTCCAAATTGAAATGGGTATCTTTTGATTTCTAGACCAAATTTGACAGCAGATAAGGACATGATTTATGGTAAAATTAATTTTAATAGGGGTAAAATGTAAAACCTCATAATACTCATTGAATAGTAGTACTCTTACTACTTAGTAAAACTTTTCATAATACTAAAAATTTAGAAGTAATATTTTATTCTTTGTTTTTGGAAAACTTCTAGAGAGTCAAATGAGTTAAAAAATTTTACATCTAAACTCAAAATCTAATTTCAGAATTACCATCAAAAGTAATTTTAACTTGTATAAAGTATTTTTTTCCAAATTGCTGATACCATAAGCACTTGAAAATAATCTCCATGGAAATGACTCTTGCATTACCTGAAGTGTCTTGGTTTGGATTTCAGTCTTATCACATAACCTGGTTCTGTGCTCTGGGATACTTGAATGTCATTGACAGTTGCTGTTAATTCAGGAGCCTAAAGAGCTACTCCAAGGAAAAGACTTAAGTTTGGGGACCAGTTTATAGTGTTAAAGTGATATTAATACTAAATGATCAAGTATTGTAATAATCTTTAATTCAGGAAACCCACATTTTTGCCTAGTCTAATCTAAAGGAGCAAAATTGAAATTAACCAATGAAGTATTCTCTTAGGAGTCATATTTTCTCACTTAATTGAAACCATTTTCAAGATACTAATAGCAGTAAATACTTACAACCACTCGCTTCATATTTCATAGACTTTACAATACAGTGATTCTCAATCTCTATGCAGAGAGGTGAGGAAAGAATTCTGTACTTTTTTCAGTGTTTGAGGAAAGAATAGAACTTAACCTATGATAAGTCTATATGATAAGTATCCTCTGATATCTATATGATAAGTAACATCCTAGATGTTACTTATCCTATTACTATGGTCTCCTGTCACTAACACCTGTCTTGGCCAGATGGGGGTATTCTATGCCTTATTATATGTACAAATTGTAAAAGCCTGTGTTGAAAGCAGTTTTATCTTTCCCATTTAGGTAGGCTTCAATGCTGATGAGGCCCACAATATCATCAAAGAGGTGAGTTAGACATGCCCACTTTGAAGTTTACTGCATTGATTTTTAAGCAGCTATTTCTAAAAAATGTATGTTTTGGTTTTTACTTAGAAATCTTAGTGCTGAAATAACAAGATTTTAAACAGTGACTAACTATAGAAGTGCTTCTGTTTTTTAACATGTTGTTGAGCATCATGAGATTTACTGTGAAAGAGATGCTTAAGGACCAACCTTCTTAGTCTAGAAAATAGTTTTTCTGTTTTCTAAAATCAATATCTTGTCTCTCAAATAAAATAATTTTTATTCTAGTAGACCATTATTTTAATTTTAATTCTATAAATGCATACATGTGTATATGCATGCATATTTTATAATTTAAAGTATATGTATATTATGTACATTATTATATCATATAGATAAAAGATCCTAGGAATGTCTGCCCTTGGCCATTATATTGCTGTTTTAACCCAATATAGGAAAAAAAGCAATCACTTGACATCTTTTAGACACTGATGTTATGGCAAACTAAAATCTTAAGAAAACTCAGAAACATGAAATCTGGTCCTTTGTTAAGCAAATAGTAAGGAACGTCTCTTGGGGAGTCAATTCTATTGGAAGAACTTTAGTTATTATAGTGATACCAGTATAGATTATACTATGGGAAAGGTAATTATGATCATTTTAGTAGTACTTAGTCATCTTTTACTCTGCCAAGTCCTAGGGAAAAAAAAACTGAGTCAGCCCAGAAGGTAGTCTTATATGGCTGTTGGAGCCTGTTTCTTTGCAGGCCTTGACTGCGCTGAGCCTGGGCTGAATCAGCATTGTTCACATCATCAGTCCATCCTGAGGCAGCGCCTCACCTGCCTGATTGCTCTTGGGGCACCTGCTTGCAAAGAGCTCAGACAGGTCTGGCTTGTACACATAGGAACAACTGAATGTCTGAGAGGACTAGACAGGCATTTGAAAATCCTGCCATATTTTAATTGCTCAAAATCATGTATTAGCAGCATATCATCCAGAAGCATTTTCTTATATAACAAATAATTAATTATATAGTAATTAATTATTATAAAATCAGAAATTATTGTAAAATCAGAAATGAGGAAAATTTGGAATTAGAGGTTAATGAAAAGGACAAGAGTGATAACTCGTTTTTCAAAATAGAATGTCAACAGAAATTATTCTTGCTCAATGGAACATAAAAGAAACCATGCAGGGACTTTGATGGGGTGTCTTTAATTAGTGCCTTCTGCCTTACTCAATTGCTGAACCAGAGAAAAAGAGTCATCAGAAAAAAAATCCACTCCTGTTATGGATGAAATCTAGATAGCTTACTAGGTTACTTACTCCTGCTTAGTTTAGACATTGGAAGAGATATCCAAGGAAAGCTTTAATCAGCGGAAATACCCAGGTTGATACCTTTCACTGAGCTGTGTAGAGAGGGAAAGAGTAACAAAAAACCAAGTCCAGGATGTTTTTCCAAGCCTTCAACAGTGATTGCTACCCAGCAACCAAATAACTCACTCCATCTTCATGGGAAGGAATGACTTTTGGGATACAAGGCCAAGGTTATTAAGGAAAAATCTGTGTGCAAGGAGCTGTCAGAAATGGAAAAGAAAAATGTTCCTCACAGTGTCAACACCCTATACTGAAGTAAAAATAGTGGATTAACCATTTTGAGAGAGAGGAATAGGAGGAAGCAGGGAGGTAACCTGAGGGAAATTAATTGTCAACTTTCACAGTAGGAGTTCTATGGATGTTGTCTGTAAATCGTAACAACAAATAGATATAAATGTTATTTGGAGATACATAATTCTTAGAAAAATACACAGTAGTACACTGAAAGTGTTTTCCTCTGATGAATGGGATTGGGGACGGGAAAGCAAAGAGTGGGGAGGTATACTTTGGTATATGTTAGTCTGATGTTTTATTGAGTTAAAAGAACTGTGCTGCTTAACCCGGGATGTACATACTTGGCAGTGGCCAGGTGGTGCTGGAAGCTACTATATACATTTAAAGTATTAATTTTAAATTGTACTTGCAAGAAAGAGTTAAGAAATATAAAGAACTGAAAATACTTTCGATATAAACTGACACATTAATGTCAAAAGCAAGATTCACTTGAAATTTTTATGTGAAACATAAGATTTCAAAGAAATCTCTGTTCACTACAGGTTGCTTTGAGCTACATGTCTTTGCTCTTTCTTCCTGCTTTCTTCTGAGCCAACTTTTTTATGTTGTTGAAACATTTTGATTGATGCACTGGAGAAGTTTGAGAGTGAGCACTATGATAAATCATTTCAGTACTTCCTAAGCAGTTACGTCATTTTCTGTAGTTATTTCGCTTTTCTATCTCCTGCTCATCTTATTTTACGTGCTTTAATTCACTGTTCTGCACCTCCATGCTAATGTATTTTTCTGAACTTTAGACATGCCCATTTATTAGTAATATACATATATTTTATTTATTGGTTTGTAGTAGAAGTTGTTCCTCCCAAAATATCCTCAAAGAAAAAGTGACTTATAAATCAAATTAACCTGGAATTCAATCTAAAGTGAATTTGATTAAAAATGCCAGAGAGCATATCAAAGCAATATTGCCTCAGTACCAAGCATTAATAAGTACCTGCTGTGTGTTTTTATTTTCACTTAGGAATACAGAGCTTTTTAAGGATTTCATTATCTAGTGGCATCTTGGGTTTTGGTTAGTTAGACCAGATATTAGTTAGTATTAATTAGCAGGACTGTTGACATTGGGACGCACACTTCATAATGTTTTCTATTTTTTAGAGTAGAATTTGGAATAGTCCTATTTGATAACTTAGGAGAACAAAAACAACCAAATAAACAAAACTCAACCGCTTTCTTATTAAGGAAAGGCCATACAAAAAGAGCAAAAGGTTAACCCCAGAGTCATCAGTTTTGTAGTGATAAAGCTAGAATTAAAACTCTGTCCTCCTGACCCTTAGTCTCCTGTCCTTCCTAATCTGTCATGTTGCTCAATTTTCTAGAATAATTTGTCGCATTAATTTTGTCAACTTTTCTAAAGTATTTTTTACTTTTCTTAGTCAAGATTTTGTATTATCCAACTTAAGATTCTATATTAGCAACTTTATGAATCATTATTATAATGTAATTCTATTAAAGCACACATACGGATGTTTGTATGTGCATGTGTGTGTATGTTAAACTACATCCTGAAAATAAATGCACACTTTATTTTCCAGGTTCTACTTTATTATACTTTCCTTGTGCCAATTGTTATGTTTGCGCAGTTGCTATTCATTATCTCATTTTATCCTCTCCACAACCTGATAAGATGCTGCCATTGTCCTCCTGTAAGGATTCATAAAATAGAGGTTTGAAGATGAAAGTCACTTGCTAAAGGTCACACAGTGACTAGGTGCAGAGCTGGCCTTAAAACCTAGGATTATGATTCTAAAGCCAGTGTACTTCATCAGGTGTCAGAAATGAATGCATGTGAGCACTGTGGGGCATTAGATTTGCTCTTGCCAAAGCATCTTTGTTTACTTTCATTGGTAGTTAGGCTAGTTGTTTTATGACTAGGCAATTACATAATATGAATGAAAATAATAATTAGTATATACAAGAAACATCTTTTTAATTCATCTCCTCCCTCATTTCTAGCATCTGAGCCCTAGTTTAAATCCCAACTATATCAAAACTACTCCTTAACCAATTAATATCATCTTTTTAAGCTCCTCCTATACCAGTCATTTTATAACTTCCCACCTATGATTAGTCTTTTTTGTGTTGTAGATATTAGAGATTTTCTTGTTATCATCCTGCTAGATTAAGTCCTTCACAGCAGCAGTCTTGACATATTTATCTTTATATGACCCATAGTATTTTACAGAATGAGGTAATGCTTGTGGAAATGCTTTGAAAACTCTTTAAGCAACGAGAGACAATGTGTAATAAATACTTACCAGACACATATTTTCTAAGATTCTTTATTGTGTTATATATGCACTTTAGGCTTTGAATAAATTTTTGTTGCAATTTATGTCAAACTCACTTGTTTCGGCTAATTTAACTATCGTTTGCCTCTTCTAGTGTGTGGATGGGGTGTTAGGAGGTGAGGATTACAATCAAAAGAATATCAATCAGTGGACTGCAAGCATAGTGGAGCAAACACTTGCACATTTGGTTAAGCTGGGGAAAGCTTACAAATACATTGGTAAGCATCAGCGTCTTTCCTCACTGGTTCACCCACCTGTATCCTAATGACTTTCTCTGAATTTTGAGACCATAAACTAATGGGAGGTATGAAAAGCAAGTATTAATATGATATGAAGTGCTTTTGATTATTCATTTAAAGATAGTATATAATAATACCTAAAAGAAGATTTTTCATACTCAAAAGCAACTTGAACTCCTTGCTCTGGGTAGTAGCCCCTTTTTGTATTTGCATCAGTTTTCTTTCCACTGAGATCTGTTTTCCTTTCAGTGATCTCATGCCTCTCTGTAAGACTGAGGTGTCACACGCTCAATTGTAAAGTGAAATGTTTTCTCCACTTTTGTATTTCAGTTCTGCCTACAGCAGAGCATACAGTGTATCCTAGAATTTTCCTGTAGTACAGTTATCAGTGATTATAGCAGTGACCCACAGTCTTACTGGAATCAGTGGACTTAAAATTGTAATCAAGATGAGAGGCTTCTTTTTAGTATACTAGTTATTTTTCAGCATTGTAAAAATTATTTTTTAGCACTGGTGACTGAGCCTGGGACCTTCACCCTGAGATACATCCGCAGTACCCACAGACTCACTTTTTGTGAGACAGGTCCTCACTAAATCACTGTTTCCCAGGCTAATTTTAAACTTGGGATCCTCCTTCCTCAACACCCCAGAATCCTGGGATTACAGGGATGTGTCACCATGTCCAACATTTTCAGTTTTTAGGACTCTGAATTCAAACACTTCAGTCTTGACTTTTATCTGTAACTGTCCTCATCCTGTGACTTTATTTGTAGTGACTTGTGCAGTGGTCCAGAGGAGTGCATATGGCTTTCACACAGCCAGCTCTTGCTTTTGGGACACCACATCTGATGGTAAGAGACCTTTAAGATATTTCACACAACATCAAACTTTTCTAGCAATGTTAATATATTTTGTATCAAATGCTTATTTAGCTGTAATTAAATTCTGTAAGACTACTGCTTTTAAAACCTAGTTATAAGTTTGACTTTAGACCAGTATAAAAATGAAATATGAAAACATAATAGATTTGAAGAAATAAATATTAAAATGTATGAAAAATGTGTATATGCCCATTGCCCTGGTAATTTTGATATTTTACTGATATTTGAAAGTTCTTTTCCTGTATGTTTTCAGGAACCTGTACCGTAAGATGGGAAAATCGAACCATGAACTGCATTGTCAATGTTTTTGCCATTGCAATTGTGCTGTGACCGTCGAAAAATATTGGGCTAAAGCCATTAACTTACGAATTTGTCAGTGTATCCTTTCCAAAAAGAATAATACTTATTACTATGTTAGAAGACAAGTGTGTAATATGCTTCAAAGCTATCGACTAAATCTATTATAAGCAAGTAATCTCAGTGTGTTAACAGATTATCTCATATTCATTAAAATAGGAAACATTAACATAGGAAAAATTAATATTATAATAAAATAAATGGAGAAATATGGCATGACAAAAAATAAAATCTTATATTTACACCAGCTTTTCACTAACCTTATTATGTACCTAAGGAGACAAGAAAATCTATTCAGAAAACAACATGATCTTTCAGCTACACAATTTCCCGGAAATAAATATGTGACCAAAAAAGCTACAAGGAAAGATGTGGAGAAATGATAAGAATTAACTAACACCTCTTAAGTTTTTTTTTTTATTTCTTATCCTTACTTAATTGTGTATAATATTCAGTGAAAAGTAATTCTCTTCTTTTTTCTACAACTAATGTTATAGTATGAAGTGATTGACTTGTTCACTTTTTCTGAGAAATGATGAATGAATTTTTAAAAAAAAAATCAATTTCTCAGATTTATACTTGAAGTTGAATTAAATCTGATAACCTGAAATTCCTGATTAAGCAAAATTAGTTATACCATATGATGAACAGTATGTGATTCAGACAACTGCCTTATAATCCACTCATCCATGTGAAAGAAACATCGGATGCCTGTGTGAACGTATTTCTCTGTTAGGCATTACAGTTATCAATGTGTTGTTCAAATACAAGTTCCTTTTGGCAGCTGTTCAGTTGAAGAACTAGCACTTTTGTTTAGGGGAAGAAAAAAAGAGGTTATTTATAAGAAAGCAGAAAAGTCTGGCTGTCCACAAAGGAGTTAGCAAAATGAAAAGCACTTACTGGTGACAGAATTATGAACATAATTTTAAGAGTTGTATCTAGCAAATTAAAAATGCATTAAATATGCAACTCTTAGTTAAAGGCCTTATTAGTAGTCTTAACTATACAAGTAGTGAATTTTATCATTGTTTTAGTTACAACCATTTGTAAATAATTTTAAAAACTTAGAGGGACTGTAAATTGGAAGGAGTAAAGTCTAAAATACAAATATACAATCATTAGCAAGCTATCTAATATCTCAGGGCTTAAGAACTATTTTTAAATTTATTAAGAGAATAAAAGATAAAAGATTAGGGTACACAGCTGGCCACCAAGTGCGAAGTCAATCTGGTATTTAACCTTGAAAGCAAAATCAATCTTGCATATTACCATTAACAATATAGTGGAGACTAGAATCATCACTTACTTTTTTTTGAGGCATCATCTCACAGTGTAGCCCAGACTGGCCTGGAACCCACAGCAATTTGCCTGCCTCAGCCTCCTGAGCTGTTCAATTTTTGGAGAAAAGAAAAGCTTAGTATTAGTCTTGAGGATATTAAGGAAGTATTATTGTAGGAGTGCTATTTGTGTGCTTGTGAATAACAGTAATTGTTCAACATTTAAGAAAAAGATTAAGAAAATAAAAGTATAGAATTTAATACAATGACCTGTGTTTTGGATGCAGCAAAAATTTTCAGCCATTACCTTTATGTTACCTCATGCTGCTCAGGCTTTGGTGCTCCTGGAGATTATAATAGTGACCAAAATATCTGCATAGTTAAGACTCATTTTTGATTGTTTTTGAAGCCTGGTTTCAAAAAATCAAATTATACCTCGTGAGCTTGCTCTCTGCTCTGTTTCTAGTTACAACATAATAAAGATTATCTTTCTGTACTGTACTTTTGCTTCTGGCTGGTTATTTACTAGCTAAAAAGATGACATTGTATTTACTCTAAACAGGGTAGGGGTTGAATATGGGATCACATAAATATCTTATGCCAAATAAATGCCACTAAAATAGTAACATCCATTATTCCTCATTGCAACATAATCGATATCTTTTTCCTCTTATGATTTTAACACAAAATTCAAATTTAAAAAATCATTAAGAAATATAACCTGTGACTATTAGCTTTTAGTGATTATTTTTTGGCAAGGAATTTTGTACTGATTGTCAATTGCAATTGAGTTGTTGCTCTTTTTTTAAATTGTGGACTTTAAGTGTGTAAGATTAGGGTATTGAAATGTAAATAGTAACTCAGATTTTGTAAAGCTATAATTTTATGTTAGTAAAGTACTAGTACACTGCCTAAATGATGGCAACATCTTATTATACTTTCCCTAGTAAAAACACTTTTCTGCTCTTCTTCCCATGTTAGGTGTTATCTAATTATGAGTCATTGAATGTGTTTTCACCACCTGCATTTATCATCACATTTTAAAGTAATCTTAGAATATTTAGCATCACATTTTCAAAGTTTAAGTACAAATAGATGACTGCTCTGTATAACCCTATTTAAAAATGTGAGAAAAAGCTGTGACTTTTTGCGGCCAAGGAATATGATCTCTCTGGGGAGCCAGGTACAAAGAGGAAAAGAAGAGGAAGCCACTCTATCTCCTAGAGAAAATGCGAGTGAAAGAGTAAAGAAATATCAGGAACATTATATGAACTGATTCTATGCATAGAAAACCACAACAGGAAACCCCATGATGGAAATTAAACACTTCTCCCTTAGTACTGGGCACCGATTCATATTTCTTAAATGCTGTATACCCAGAATTTAAGAAAATACATCTGTGGATCACAAATAGCCTGTAGGTGATCAGTTTGCCTGGGTTTCATAGTTAGTACAGCCCCTCCCACCACAATTCAGCCCTCTTCATTAATTGGCTAATCAAGTCAAACTTTTCATTTGTTCCACAAATAGTTAATAGGCAAAGGGTAGGAAATGAAGTCAGCTATGTGTGGATGTGGTTGTTATTGTTGCAGCCGTGATAATGTGAATTATCACATAGAAAAAATGTTCCATGAATCATTACTATGTACTTTTTTGAGGCAGTTTGGCAGCAAATTGTTAGACTTTCAACATCTTATATCACATAACAAAGTTCTTTGGAGTATACTATTTATATAATGAGTAGAAAATGAGAAAAGCAAGCAAGAATTTTCTTCGTAATGTGGTTTTTAATAGCAAATTTAAAAATGAAAACTAAAATGTTCACCAAAGAAAGAAAAAAGAACTTATGGTTGAGAAAAAGGGAAACTATCACTTTTTCTTTCATGTGTTATATGGTTTAGAATAAACAATTATACATTAATTTAAAAACAGTGAAAGTTACACAATACATGAATACATTATTTTCATGTAAAGTATTAGAATGTAATAAAAAATTAATGAGACCTTTGCCTGCCCTATTTTTGTTTTGCTTTGTGTTTTGGAATGGGATCTTGCTATGTAACACAGGCTGGCATTGAACTTGCTATTTAGCCCAGGCCGTCTGCATATTTATGCTGATCCTCCTACCTCTGCCTCTCCATTGCTGGGATTACAGGTTTGTGCCACCACACCCAGTTTGCCTTACATATTGTCTTTGTTCCTTTACCTCTGTATCCACTACCAAGAGGTAAAAACTGGTATCATTTTGATGTACATGGTTCCAGGCTCTTGTTTTGCATTTATATAAATGTGAACATACTTTTTTACTGTTGTATAACATATAATTCTACAGGTTGTTCATTTTATGCAGCAATATACCTTAGTAATTTTTTTCATGTCAGGCTATAAAGAATGACCTTGTTAAGTTTAGCTACTGTATTATATCCTGTGAACAGATCATATTAATTTATTCATTTTTCTGTTGATGAACTTTAAGATAGTTTCTCATATTCTACTCTTCCAAAAAATTCTGCTATGAAAGTCTTTGTCTAGACTGCTTGATGTCCATGTACAAACATGTCTCCAAAACCTTTAGAAGCTGAAATATTGGGTTATGTAGCAAATGCACATTTTACATCTTAATTGTTTTTCTGTAATATAAAAGTAATCTGTCTTGATAAGAAATAAGACAGTGAAGATGCTTAAAAATAGCAAGTTACCAGCCCAAATATGACTGAAGAGATCGTGTGTCAGCTCTTAAAAGCATCCATCTAAAACGTAAATCAATGTGAATCATAGCATAGCCCCCAACCCTGAAAAAAGCACAAAAATCATACACATCTGCCTTTTACTGATATGCTTGGGCTATTATATCTGTGTGAATGTGTGTGTATGTGTGTGTGCGTATGTGTGTACTCCTTACCATAGACACCCTGTATAGAACTTGCAACAGAGAGCAAAACTAAGAATGTCATAGGGTTTAATTTCTCATTTGTTGAGTCAGTGTTAAATGTATCCAAAATCACAGAGACCACTCTTCACCAAGACTAACTTTATTAATACTCAACTTTGCCTCCTTGCTGTTGGCAGTAGTGCTTGGCAGAGTACAAGAAGCCTCTATTTTCAACCTAACTCAGTCTCCAGTTGGATATATAATCCTGATGTAATCATTTCAGCTTTCTAAGCTATATTTAATTAAATTAGGGGGACAGGTTAGCCCCTTTTAATTTCAATATTGTGAAGTAAAAATTCAAATCAAGAACCTAATATTTAGATGTCTGTTACATATATGTAAATCTATATATTATATGTAACATAATCTGATGCTAATTTAACCCCTTGCATCTGTTCAGGAACTTCACTAGTACTTTTTTCTAATGATATGTTTTAGGGAACTTTACAGAATTAAAGTGGGATGGTGCTTGAGGGTAGGCATATTACTCAGCAGTAAGTTGCTTACCTAGTATGAACAAGGCCTTGAGTTTGATTCCCAACGCAATGAAAATGAATAAATGCTGGCTCTAAGCAAGAAAGCAGTTTCAAGAAAGAAGCTTCATCAAATCTGGTCATGCACTGAATTCAGAGGGATAGAGCAAGTTACCAGAAGGTTAGGCCAACTTGGAGCGTATTCCTCACATCAGTAAACAGATAAATCTTATGAGCAGGTCAAATGCTATATACAACATTTGCAAATTTCCTAACTTTTATTTTGAAGGATGAGAGTAGTGCAAGAAAGCAGACTGTGGAATACTCTTCTGTATGCCACTACTTTGGTCAGTGCTTCCCAAATGTAATCCGCAGACTACCCACCATGGGAACATTTGCAGTGCCAGCTGAAGTGAAAACATCCAGGTTCCATTCTTGATGTGCTGGATGAGAATCAGAGAGTAAGTTGGGGAAGAAATGAGCTTCTTCACGTTGGACACCCTCCTCTGATCATGTGTGCACATGTTCAAGTAGAAAACCATTCTTTTGAGGAGTCAACTGTGATTAGGACACACTTAATGGGTAGGATTTCCAGTTGTAAACTCAGAAATAAAATGTATCCTTAGGTAGAGGTAAGAGTGCACGGTGAAGAATACAAGGAGGATGTGGATGTCTTCAGCAAAGAAAAGTCTGGAGAGAGAAACTCGGAGATGCCAGGGTTCACAGAATTGAGGTGGGTTGAGGGAAAAAGTCTCATCATAAAGGGAGTTGACAAGGACTTTGAGGTTGCCTGTGCCAACCTCCCAGCTGCAACATAAATCCTTTCCATAAGCACACTTGACAGAATTTCATTAGTGGAGGTGTCCAGGGGCCTAAACTCAGTGTTTTTTTTTTTTTTTTAATAGACAAATGTAGTTGCCAGGATATTTTTTTCTCAATTAACTGGTCCTGCTCATGATGATATCATACAAGTAAGGGAGCATGGTCAGGTTTTGTGGAGGCTAAACTTTGGGAGAGCTTTATCTCAAGAATATGCACACACCTTGAACTTACACCTTTCGTTGGAACAGGCTTTGAAAGATACTACTTTGCTGTTTATGTTTTGAGCTCATTTCTCGTTTTCAATTTGTCTCCCTATGCAATTTATCTGTGCTGCCACTAGGGGACAGAAGGATGCCATTGTTTGTGCACTGAAGTTCAAGTGTTGAAGATTGTGCTCTCTGTGAAATGCAAAATGATGGCTCTTTGCTCACTTTGGCTCCTTGGTCAAAACAGATTGTTAGAGAGCTCTAGCTTTTCCTTTAAAACATATCCTTTTGTTCAAATGTTTGGAGTATGCCTACCTTTAAGCTCATCACACTGGAGCCACAGGCTCTTGTAATGTAAGTGGGAAAAACAGCAGCATTCTCTGGTTTGTTACAACTCTTCCCCAGAGAAAACACCAGAATTCTTATGCTTCTTGTTTTTCAAGGTCTCTAAGCTATGTCTCATTTGTATTCCGTATTAGCCCTTTCAAGGCCTCTTTTGTCTGACTTTTGAAGACATATTCTCCTTGCCTGGTCTTTTTCCCACATGTAAACAACAAGGTTAGGTCAGTAATTCATGCGGCAAATATTTACATTCACTATGTACCAGACATATGTCAAATTTTGGGAAAATTAATAAATCCTTTCCCTCATGGAGCTTACATTCTAGTGAAGAGGTAGACAATAAAAAAAATATGTCATGGGGCTGGGGATTTAGCTCATCGGCATAAGCGCCTCCCTTGCAAGCAGGCAGTCATGAGTTCGATCCCTGGTACCGATAAAAAAAGGAAAAAAAATATAGTCAGGTGGCAATAATGTTATGGAGAAATGATAAGTAAGAAATAAAGAATCAGAGGAGAATTATAAGTAAATAAGTTAGACAGAAATTAGTATACAGTCCATAAGGGACTGGAGTCTCAAAGAAGCCAGGAGAAAGAATGGATACCTTGTAGTTGAAATGGAGGTGCACCAGAAAAAAGGCCAGGCCTCAAGATAAAGATGCAATGGGCAGGCCTGTATGCCTCCATAAGGAATAAACAGTAAGTTGGAATTATAATTAGCATCACTTTGTCCAGTAAAGTCCATATAGACATCAGTCAGCCAGGTAGGTGCCAAGAGTATCTGAACCCATCCCTTCCCAAAATATTGCCTTTGCTCTTCTTATGTACACTTGCTGTGTGACTGGCTTCTCTATTGGATTAATATTATTAGCTCAGCAGCTACACTTACAATTCTTTAGGTTTATGGCAGTTTGATCCATATTGTACTCACATTGTGACTGCTGTATAAATTAACCCTGACCAGGGGTCTTGATGGAAACCTATTTCTGAGACCCTCAACTCATCTCTCAGGAGCCATTCCTATTCCCCAACTAACCTTTTGTACTCTTAACTTCCCTTGTTCTTTGGAATTCACTATTCAATTTCAAGGAATATGAACTAGATATATTTGACATCTAGCAGGTTGAGAGTTAAATTTTCCCCTGTATCAGGAGGACAGGGAGTATAAGAAAGGGAGGATACTGGGAAATTTTCTGTTTCAGATGAGACTGTCAGAAATATCTCTCTCGTAAAGATACTATTTCAGCTGCAACCTGAAGGAGGTGAAGGAACAAGGCACACAGATATTTGGGAGAACAGTGTTTCAGACAAGGGAAACACAAATGTAAAAATCTTCAGTTGGAACCAATCTCAGGATGTTTGAGAGACATTATGGTGGTTAGTATCACTGGAGCTCAGTGAGAAAGGGACAAAATGATGGGAAATGTGACCAAATAGGCAATTAGGGTCACATTATATAAGACCATCTCTTAAGATGATGCCACATTGGCGCTTTTGAGTAGAAGAGTGACTTGAGAGTGTGAGAAGAGAAATAATCTGGAAATGTTTTGAATGTAGGGCTTGATACTGAACTTCATGTGGTATGTACAAGAAGGAAGAGTTGGGGATATGCTAGGGTTTGGGCCTAAAGAAATGGAGTTCCCATTTTGGGGGATGGAAAAGACTGTAGGACAGGCAGTGACATGAGCAGAAATGAGCAGAAAACTAAACATTTTCTGTGGAGAGTATGATTTGCAAGTAGGAGGGACTGATCAATTGTGTCATACACTAATGAGTTAGTTGACATCTCATCTGGCTGTATCTGTGGCTATAATTGCTACTTGCCTCACAGCCTTAGTGTCATCAGTAGGCTTTTCTGCCATGTCAACTACATCCAAGTGTGAGTCTGTTCTATTTGACCTCAGAACATAATGGTTCTCTCTGCTCTGTCGTCAGTTTCTAGTTTCTCAGCATTCCAATAGATAATAGACAACAGATAATTCTACCATGTCAGGAGACAAAAGAACAAACCTCTTGAAGTTTGCATTCAAAAGCCTCCTCTCTACCACTCCCTGTGCAGCTCTTGGAGTAAGTCTGTGAGGCCAAACCTGTTTCCTCAATTTAGAGGGGTGCTCCTCCAGGTAGAATGCTGCTTGGGGTTGAGGATTTTATCTCATCTCTTCACGTAGTGCCAAGGGCTTCAAGCAACTCTGCTCCCTCATGACCATTAATGAACCCATGCATCCAATCCACACAGATAACACTATGTGTTCCAAGACACACAAGGGCCCTTGATTTAGAATTCACATTGTACTATATTTAAGGATTATGCTTTAATCATTTTGTTGAGTAAATGTGTTTACTAAAATAGATGCATATTATTCTCACCCAACTTTTTACTGTTTATTTAGTATCATGACCTAATTATACTTTTTCTGTAACTGTCACTCAATAAAATTCTCGGTTTTAAATTTGTATTCTCTTCCACAGTTAGTTTTTGAAATCAACTCCTACCTCTTTCCCCATTCCAGTGAATTTTCATCTCCATTCATTTACCTTGATCATTCATCATTATGATGAAGGTATAGCATAACTTTTGGGGGAACCACACTGTCCTGACTCAAAGTCTAACATTTTTTTGTTTCCTAGAGGCATAATATTGGAGAAATTGCATAACGTCTCTGTTTCAATTTCCTCTTCTGGAAAATACAGTTGATAATGGTTCTGAAAGTTAAATAAGATAAAGCATATAAAGTTCATAGCATGTAGTAGAAGCAAAGTAAAGGAGCTTGCTAGGCTGGAACCATAAGGGAGGAAAATGTTGAACAAACTCTCCGTCCCCAGCTAATGTGAAATAAATATATAAACAGTAGTAAATTTTTGTCGGTTTAAAATATTGAGATTTTGGAGTTATTTGTTGTTGTAGCACAACCTACACTTACTATATCAAAAATTGATTTTGGAAGCAGAGCTTACTTCTTATGGTTATATCTACACACACAGATGGCATATCTTTTTTCTCTTTCAAGTCTTGTGGATATTCCACTCATTCTATTGTGCTTTAATGATATATTGTTATGGTTGATAACTTACAATTTATTTTTAACCTTAGCTACATCTTCTATGATTTTTCTCTTAATTATGTCTATTTTTTGATAATGGGTAATAAACTCAGGGCCTTTGCACTGGGCTACATCCTCAACCCTTACATTTTTTCATTTTAAGTCAGGGTATTGCTAAATTGTCCAGGCTGAGCTCAACTCTACAACCTTCCTGCCTTAGCTTCTCAGAAAGCTGTGACTACAGGTGTGTACCACCATGATCAGCTTCTACTAATTAATTCTAAAATCAGAAAACTAATGAACAGTTATCGTTATTTTTCAGATTGATATGTGTCATATACTAGGATTAGTGTTCTCTGTGTTTCTAATGTCATACCATAACATTACAACGAATTTTTTGTTTTTTTGGGTTTTGTTTTTTGAGACAGGATCACACTCTGAAGTTCAAGCCAGCCTTGAACTCACTATGTAACCCAGACTGGCCTCCCACTCCTGGTGATCTTCCTGCTTCAGCCCCCTGAGCTCTGGGATTACAAGCATGTACCATTATGCACAGCCCAACTGAATATTCTTAGAGCAATGTTTGATTAGATTCCTCCTCTCGAGGAGAGGAAATGCAAAGTCACATTACAGAGAATACAAAGAGGCAAACAATTTGGTTTGATCTGTAATCAGTCTAGGTATCATTTATTTTTTTAAAGTAAAGAAAAGTATTCTATTAATTTTAATATTGTCTAGCTTGTTTCTTTTTTCTCTAATTAATGCAGATGCCATCTATTTGTTTCACTTTTCCTTTTCTATCTCCTCACACTTTGATATACAGTGTCTTAAAGCAGATTTTTCAAAATATAATTTTATTTAGAGCCAATGGATTGTAAAGTTTTGCTCATTATTTTCAATAATAAAAACGCAAAAACTACCAAAGTTACAGGTTATCTTACAGTTTACTACCTTTGTAATTTGGACATGGTTAAACTCATTGTTACGTTTGATCTCAATATGGCCACAGGCACATTGGTCCCTGCAAAATAGATCTTCTGATAATGAACACAGCAGGAAGATGGCAGTGTGTATGTCTAAGTGTGATGCTTCAGCCTGTGGCTGAATGATACAGACCTCCCAACTGGAAAACAATGATCAGATAGCTCTGCTGACCTTCATTAGCAAGGTCTGGATTAACTACCTTGCCAATAAAGTGCCTTGGTGGCTTCCAGCAAATACAGACACTCACTGTTCTCCTTGGATATAACTAGATAGCATTTTTTCTTATCAAACAAGTCAAAGATATCTGAGATTTGCTCTAACATCTCTTTAGAAGAAAAAAGGTGATTAATTTCATATGCTCTGACATGTCCCCATCTGACTCAAAAGAGTAATGTTTAGCTTTTTCTGTGAGTGTGGCTAGGAGAGTGATTTTTATTATTACTTAACTGGCAATTGCATAACTGAAAGAAGAAGTAATATTTAGCAATCAAGTGATCTAATGTAATGATAATCTTGTGATTATTATTTTAGTATAATTTTAAGATTTATGAAGGCATTTTGAATTTGATTTTTTATATAAGTCAGTTTCCGTCTCTTCAACAGTCCCCTCTAAAGGGTAGTTTCAAAATACAATATTGGGTGTTTTTTCTAAAGATCGACAAGTACAATCTCCATACTATTTGATATCACAGTGATTTCTGCCCAAGATCTCACTATGCAGCCCTGTGGACTCAAACTCACAGTGATCCTCCTGACTCAGCCTCCTGAGTGCTAGGATTACAAACTTGCACCACCACACCTGGCTAGCTGACTCTATTAGAACAACAGCCAATGTATAACTTTGAGTACCTATGCTTATCTGACCTGACTGAATTGTGAAATTAGGACATGAAAGACCAGTGGAATGGAAAACTAGGTCGTACTAGGCCTTCCATGTCTTCAAAATTTTATCCGACACTTCCTTATGCCAGTGCTATAAGATCATTAAGACACTGGCACAGAATTTAGTCACCAGTTTTCCCTTCCCAATCTATAAACCATGCAGTGTTTGGCATGTCATCTACAGAAGTACAAGTAATTTCATTCCTAGTAAGGCAGAGAAAAATCTCTGCTACCTGAAGTCACCCATTAGAACCAAAAATAATAACATGCAGACATTCTGTGTGTCCATTACTTTTAATGTTTAAGTGCAATTTTAAAAATTATTCCTAGAAATTACCTCCCAGATGCCTCCCCAAATAAACTATGCCCAAAGTCTGCAAGTATTTGAACTTCATAAACACAATATTGCAAAAGCAGGAAAATTAAGAAAAGCCTTGAGATTTAAAAAATGCTTCATTATTCTTTCTTAAAGTACCTGTTTCCTAAATGCTAAATACTAAACTCTAAAAAAACTGTGCTGCCAATGGCTGATAGCTGGTGACTAGAGACTTGGGAGAACAAAGAAGGAATCTCTCATAATGACAAGCACTTTTTCACTGATTTTTCATCTCATGACCAGAATAACATAGGGCAGACCTCTCTATGTTGGCAACTACTTTGGTATCAAATGTAAAAAATGCTGGAGCATCATTCTCCAAGCAAGAGTTGGGTTTAGATTATGTCACGTAGTTTAGAAAGAAACCGAAATTCTTGTATTCCATAAAACTGAGGTTCGCCCTCTTGCTCATACTTTGTTATAAAGAATTTGAAACTATGCATACAACTCCTGAGTCATAATAATAGAACAATAAATATTTGCTGAATAACTGAACTAATAGGGTTAGCCCTCACTTTTTCCAAGTGGAAACTTTCCTGCACATTTCTGAGAGGTGATGTTTACACACACTGGAGGACTTTATTTGTGAGAACCCTCCTCAATGCTTTGAAGATCCTGGGAAATCAAAGCAACTGTGCTACTGTAAGAAATGACTGAATTCTCAGTTTATCTTAGTCCTTCATATATGTGCACTCAGAATCAAAAATGTGACCAGAATATAAAAATATCAGTACTATGAGTAATCAAAATAAGGTAAATCTGTGTACCCCTTCTTCAATTACATCCAATACCTATAAAACTAAGAAATCTGGGATAGGCAATAACCAAAATGAGACAACTCCCTTACTTTTTTCTTCTGTGGTTTTGCTTTCTCTCACTGTTCTTGTTTCTTCCTCTCCTTCCTTCCCTTTCCTTCTGATAAACCTTGTGATTTTCTGCCTTTCTGTTTTTCTTCCTCATTACCAAAGCTGAAGGACCCTGGGGGGTGGGGCAGATAAAGCTGTTTTTTTAGTTCCTGGAAATGGGAACAGTCATAATAAAAACAACTGTTTCTGGCCACACTAAATGATTTAGAACTGTCGTTGAATTCACGGATATCCAGGACATTCTACTAGGTGTGATTTCAATATCAACAGAGTTAACTGGGGATTTCAGTCTCCAGGATGTATATTTCAGGAATATGATGGCAGCAGTGGTTGTGATAATTTAATAATAAAAATAAACCATTGCTCATACATATAAGATCTACTTTTGTATTTATACTAAACAAGAGATGGCCTGTATGAGCCCAATGTGCATTATCAGATACATATTTGTCATAATTCTGATGTTCCAAATTTGCAAGGAATGGTTAAAGGAGACTTTCTGGTAGTAAACTAGTGTACTTTTTTTTTCACAGATTAGGGAGCAGGATTAGAAGAGTCGGTCAGATTTATGACAGGATATTAGTTCCCTTCCTTCATCCTTCATTCCTCTGTGCTTCAAATAAGAATGTGAGGAACCACGCAGGCCATCATATAGGCTGGTGTCCTTAACCTATTCTGTACCCTCCAGAGAGTAAGGATATTTTGGTCTGTAAGAGTGACAGGAATCATCTCCTCAGATAATTCTGTATAATGTTTTGAATTAGTTCTATTCTGACATTGTTTGGTTCTGAATCTTATTCATTCAATAAATTGTCCTATAGTACCCACTGTGTGCCAAGTAATATGGTAAACGATGAGTACTGAATAAACTCCAATCAGTGTAATATTCTTTGGTAGGCAGAATCTCTGATCTTATTTTGCTGCTGTGTTGGAATGCTGGAAAGTACTGAGGTGTCAACGCTGACATTAGTATGTGTTAAATCACTTTCAGCCTATATTAGTTCCTATCTGGAAAAATCTCCCTCAGTATAACAGTAATAACCAAGATGGCACAAAATGGAAAATGAATAGCTACTCTTTAGTTTACATCTTTGGGAGACTATAAAAACTGATTTTCAAAACAGACTGCTGTGGAAAGAATACCAAACCTGGGGTCAGGTGGCCAAGATCTGGTCTCAGCTACATAGCCTAAGGAAGCCACTAAAGCTGTCTGAGATATCATTGTTTCGTCCTGAAAATGATTCCAGAAGTCCTTACCCTACCTTTTGCTGGCGGCAAAGAGATGAAAATGAAATGAAATGCTGTGAGAAACATAAAACCCCATATAAACATAATATCATTTGCAAACAATCTTTCAACAGAAATGTTACATTGTAGTTTCTTTTCTTCCTTTTTTTCTTTTTCTTTCTTTTTTCTTTTCTTTTTTTTTTGATGAAAGGAATTTATATTCTTAACCAATAATATCTGGGTTCATGGTAATGTAATCCAATTTTTCCTTCTGGGAGAGATGAGTTAGAAGTTTTCCTTGTTGAAAATGAAATGCACTCCCCGAGGAGCAGAGTCGGAGTTGGAGATGCACTGTTTATTGAGGGTTTTTGCCAAGGCTTCAGGTCCACAGAGGAAAACTCCTATTCTGGTACTTTTGGGAAAGAAAAAAGAAAAAGAGTTTTAGGCTTTGGGATGAGATAGACTACAAAGCATGTGGGAGACTTGCCATTGATTTGAGGCCCTAGGGCCTAAACTCCTGTGTTTTTTTTGTCTTTTCCAAAAATGGAAAGAGTTCAGATTACTTTGCAAGATGGTGATCAGCTCAGATTATGGAAGAGCTGCATAATTTAAAAGACAGTTGATTTCCCTGGAAAATGAAATCCAAGCAGAGTTTTGGAAAACTTCTACCACAGGAAAAAATGTTAAGTAGAAGTCTGTAGGGCTAATTTTTCACTGAGCTCTATGCCTCCAAAACATTTCTGGCACTTTGTGATCAAGAACAAAGCCTCTTTAGTTATCCTAACTCTGGCAACAGCTTGCTGTGGCTTCTTTCTTCTAAATCTTAGAGTTTAGATTCTTGTTCTTCAAGGTGCAACTCTAGACTGCTAGTCTAAGTATTAGCTTTTTAAGAATGCAGATTCTTGGTCTTCACCCCACATCTACAAAATCGGAATCTGCATTATAAAAGTATAGCCAGATGATACGTGTGCTCACTGAAGTTTAAGAAACAATAGTCTGAGGATCACATTTATGGGGAGTCCCTGAGTTTCTCATGAGTTCCAGAAAGATATGGGATCCCTCAAGACTTCCTGATGGCTGAAGCTTTAGGAGAGAAGAAAAGATGTAGGGACATCCATGGATGGACTCATGGTTTTAGACTCAAAAGCTAAAAGTGAAACTGAGGGTGTTGTCTCCGTAAAATTAAGTATAAATCATATCAAATATTTAAAAGAAATTAATTCACTAGTAAAATTTAGGCACTAAATAAAAGAACTAAGCTGTGGTTCAGCTTGGAACAAGGGATTGGGAAAGTTTGAGATGGGAAACTGAGAATTTTTGTTTTTAATAATTCTTCAGACACTTTTGATGTGATTTAAGGATTTTCTCTTAAAGTCAGAGCTATCTGAAATCTTCCATTGAACATGAATTCAGTCCCATTACAGTGACATGGGTTTCTTAGTTTGTGGAATTTACAAGTCTAGCCATGTTTGGATATAATGCTTCAGGCAAACCACAGTTTAAAAATGCCTTAGTTGTAGAAGGAGATTGCTGCTTACTTAGGGTGTTGACTCCCAATTGTCTTGAACTCATTATCCCAGTTAGGGCGTCCATACAAAGTCTTTTGTTTTAGGCCTGTGATCACGTCTTTCTCTTCATCATGGTGAACTGCAAAGTGATTGGCCTGTAGCAAAGGACATTAATTCAGAAATAGAGACATAGTATAAAATACGGACAGAGATAGTTCCATATTATCAAAGCAAGTTCTTAACTGCCTGTTCTTACTAAGTACACACGCGCGCGCGCACACACACACACACACACACACACACATATAACAAAAGATAAACAAACTTTCCCTCAAGCAATTTCCATTGCTAGAAGAGGACACTTTAAAAACTAAATAAAAATTTGTAAAATAGGTTCTGATGCGTGCATAGACGAGACCCAAACATCATAAGAAGAACAAAGAAAGTAGAATAAATAGATAAGAGAAAGTTTAAGGCCACTATATTTGAGTTAGATACTGAAATGTGAATAGTGTCTCAGTTTTTCTGTTGATTATGTGTTTCTCTCCTCTAATAAACTCCCAAACTTTTGAGAGAATCACTAAGAAGTGAAATAATCATAAAATAAATTACATTTGTATTTTGGTAACTTGAAACATCAAATCAAACCTCAAGTTTTGTGTGTACATACATGCTATTTTTCTGCTGTCATTCTAGGGGCATGCAGCTTAAACAGGTACTTTTCATAACAGTGACTAATTAAATGTATTTTACTTATTTATTTATTTGAGACAAGGTCTCACCATGTAGGTGCAGGCTGACTTTGGACTCACTTATGTAGCCCAGTCTGGGCTCAAACTCATGGCGACCCTCCAGTCTCAACCTCCTGAGTGCTAGAATTATAGGCATATACCACCACACTTAGCAAATTAAGTGTATTTTAAAATAAGTCAGGTTTTAAATTTACTAGACAGCAGATAGGTGATGGGGATGGAGAAGGCCAAAAAACGTGGTCACACTGGTGTAATAATCCCATAGTGACCAGTTCTGCAAAGAAAAATAATTATTTTTAAAATGATTTATTTTTCAGTGCAAATAAATGTCTCATTTAAAACTGTTTTGTTTTAGAAAATATCAGAACTGTAAGATAATTTATAAATTATACTGTTTCTCTCAGTTTATTTCTTACTTTTGTGTGTGTGTGGTATGGTGTATTAAACCCAGAGAATGTTTAGCTGCATTCCTAACCTTTTGTAAAGTTTTATTTTGAAACAGGGTCTCACTAGTTGGCCCAATCTGATCTTGAACTATTAGTCCTTTTGCCTCAGCCTCCTGAAGTGGGATTATAGGTCTGTGCTTCCATGGGTTTTATTTTTACCAAAGGGGTTGTATTCTGTTTTTAAATTGCAGAAGTAGCTGTTTGAAATCACTTTTCACGGAGTAGCAGTTTTGATGGTCATGTGCTCCTGGATCCACATGTGCTATAAGACTTTTAGGGCATCTATGATAGACAATAATGCCAAATGAGAAGTCATTCTTCCCAACAGGGTGCAATACCCTGTGTGGAACACCCAATGCTGAGGAGTCAACATATGGATATAATTCAGCAGCTGTGGGTGAGTGAGTCCATTCCAAATTCAGATGTTCTCAGTGTGATAGCATAAGGAGGGCCTGCTGAATGTGGTGGTTCAGTTCTGTAATCGCAACACTCAGGAGGCTGAGGCAGGAGATTAACCACAAGTTTGAAGTCAGTCTGGGCTACATAAGGAGTTCCAGGCAAGCTTGAACTACATAGCAAGACTGTATCCAAAAAAAAAGAAGGAAAGGAAAAGAAAACAAAAACAAATAACCATGTAAGGCCTTTAAAAGGTGATTAGTCATGAAGCCTCCTCCCTTAAGAATAAGAGTAAGGCCTTTTTAAAGAAACTGCATGTACTATTACAGGAGCTTGTCATTTATCAGATGTTTACACGGTCAAATTAACCTGGTGTGGGCAAGAAGGTGGTAGGGATTGCAAGGAAACTGTACATACATACATACATATATATCTCACCTTCATTTAGCACATGTTGATTTACTTCCCACAAATAATCATAAACTACTGAGAGTTGCTAAGAGTGTTCTGACTCTGTCATTCACTTATTAGGTGCCAGGTGCCTTCGGGTAAGTGACCTAATCTGTTTTGGGCCTTGGTTTCTTCATCCAAAAAATGTGCATAAGAATAGTAGGTACCCAACTGGGTTGCTGAGAGTATGAAAATAGACAGTTTATGTCAATGCTATGAACAAGACACGCTACATAGTTCAGTCATCTCTCAGTATCTCCAAGGATTGGTTCCAGGACTTCTCCCTGAAGACAGCAAAATCAGTCCCACATAGAAAATGGTGCATTACTTCCATAGAGCCTATACACACCATTTAATGTAAGAACCTGTTGATTACTCATTCTACCTAGGACAATGTAAATGCTATACACCTCATTGTTATACTGCATTGTTTAGGGATAAGTAACAGGAAAAAACATTCTGTACATGCTCAATATAGACATATTTTTTCCAAATATCTTTTGCTTGTGATTTGTTGAATTCACAGATGTAGAATCCATAGATATGGAGGGTTTACAGGGTACGCTTAGTTACTATAAATGTATTGAATGCATTATAAGACATGTGTAAACACATAATTAAAAAACATACGTATATTTTTTCTAATTACCTTGTGGTGAGTCTTGTCCATGTGGCACAGACTTTTTGGTGTGAGAATTATCCTAATAATGTGTCTTTGTTATTTGTTTTTGTTTTTGTTTTTGTTTTTGTTTTTGTACTGGGAATCAAACTCATGACCTTGCATTTAACAGGCAAGCTCTTGGCCAACTAAGCTACTCCCCTGGCTTTGTCCTAATAATGTTAAAGTCATGGACTTTACTCCCTCATAGGTGTTACAGCATTGGATCTAGTCTCAAAAATGTTGATATCATGATGTAATATCGAATAAATATGAATGAGCTGAGTGACTTGAATCTATCAGCTATCCTCCAAATAGGAGACAAGACTCAAAGAACAAGGGAATGTCAGCAAGTCCTGGGCACTGTAGAAGGACTTGAGATTTGGTCCCTGATCCTCACCTGAGACTCATCCCAGCCAGTAAGGTAGATGTTGTAGCTGAGGAAATTGGCATTGTTCCTTTCTTGCATCTGGGTCTCCAACAGCTGCAGCAGATCTGCAAACCACTCAAAGGCATGTGTGTCCCGACATAGCCAGTAGAAATAGATCTGCAAGGTGGTGGATCACAAAGAAGACTGTTTTTTAAAAATCCTCTGTGCATTCTATATTTTAACTCATATAAACCTGCTATGACATTCACGCTCACACTGGCAAGGCACTAAATAAATACAGTCAACAAAAACCAGGCTGGCTCATGAAGTTTTGTCCTGGGGCTACTCCTTCTTTCCCAGAACCTCTGTATTCCTTTCTATCTCCTCTCAGAAAGCCAAAGAAACCTAGACTAGCAGTAACTGCTGCAGGACTTCTTCCCAGTCCTCAGCTGCTACCACCAGACAGGCAAGAGTTTTTAGAGGAAAAACTCTTACACATAGAAAAGAGATCAGAGGGAATGAAAATTCAAGTTAGGCTCAATGTCCATAATCTTTTTAATTTTTTTTTATTTTAAAGGGCAAAAGGCACAGAAAAATGAAAAAGGTAATCAAGCAAACTAAAATTTATCTTTAGTTACTGGCATGACTCAAGGTTTTTTGAAGGTGTCCTCTATCAGGTAATTTACATGTAACACTCTCTTGGAAATTTATCCAGCAGAGAAGTAGAGATGAAAGTGAAAACTTGATATCTCTTTCCCTGCTCTTGAAAAACAAGTACTGAAAATTGAATTCATGTACAAAACAAAATGATAGAAAACCATTCTGTATATTCTCAATGGAATATTAACTAGTCATTAAAAATAATCATTCTGAAGCCTGTGATAATTGAAAAACATTCTTCATGTTTAAAAAATGGTTATGCAACTGTACATAGTAAATATTTACAATTTTCTAAATGTATGTTAAGCCTGTAGAAAAAATATTAGAATGTTCAAGGGGCTGAGGGTACAGCTCAGTGGTAGGGCACTTTCCTAACATGTACAAGGCCCTGAGTTCCAACCAGAGCACCATAAAAATAAAAATAAAATTAAATACAAAGGAATAGCTTTGGGATTGTGAATACTGTCTCTTCCCCAAGCTTTCTTTCTTCTGCATTTCCAGTAGGCCTATACTACTTTTTTTCATAGGCCTGTTTATTTAGAAGTGCATTTCTCTTATCAAATAGTCCCTTGAAGAGAAGTTTGTCTCTCTGAATCAACTGAAACTTCTCTTTACTTCCCTAAAGTACCCCTGATAGTACTTTCAAACTTTACTTGGTAGATCATGCTGACCAATTCCAAGTCATGAAAAGTCTGAAGGAACTTACCTTTTTGAGCTTCAAATTGGTGGCGTTATTGCAATATTTGTACCAGACTGATTTGAGAATGGATGCGAAAGGTGTCACTCCAATCCCTGCTCCCACTAACATCACCACCTCATAGCTGAACACATCTTCACTGGCTGTGCCAAAGGGACCATCAACTGCAATCCTGAATAGAAATAAAAAGGAGACAGTTACAGAAATATTTGCTCTTCACAGTAAGAGGGAACCCCTATTATTGCTGGAGATGTATAATGTGTCAATTGTGACTGAAGTAACGTATTTATGAGACACTTTTTCCTGTGAAGTGGATTTTAAATGATCAATTTAAGGCCAATATAGGGGTCGGAAGTAAGAAGAAAGGAATGTTTTGGTACCTGAAAACATTTGGTAACATATAACAGGAACTTTCCATCTCCTCATCCTTAATCTTCTTCATAGAATCTCTCTCTCTATGCTTGTTTCTCTGTCTTTCTGTCTGTCTGTCTCACATGCATCCTACACTTTAAATTTTTACTAACATTATTTATTGAAGTGAGAATTTTCTACCTCATTAGCATCTTGTAGATTTAATATTACTAATTTTCATTTATCTGTTCATTGAACTATTCAACATAGTTTTCTTCAGCATCTACTAATACCTGGTACCAAGTTAAGCCTGTGGGGAGGGGATGAAAAGCAAATAGTATGTGACATTTACTCTCAAACAAATGATGCCAATTACAATTTAAGAATACCTTTGTCAGAAAAATAAATATAACTTAGCCTTCTCCCTTCCACATTTGAAAGAATTTGAGAGTATGCATTACTAATATTTGATCTAAGTGCTTTATATTTTACATCAGAGTCATAAAAATATACATAAACACCCCCCTGGGTGCAATAGGGAACACAGAAAAAGCTACCTATCTTCTTATAAACTCTGTGTTTTGTGTTTCAGGAGATGGAATAATGAGATGTGAAGGAAGAAGAGTTAATTAGTATCTTTTCTTCTCGGTGTGTATACCTTCATGATAAATGCTTTGTACTCACTTGGGTAGTTTCCAGGCATCTTGAAACTCCTGCTTGTCACAACCACAAGCATTGAACAGCCCCTCTGTCCAGTCTCCAACGATGCGAATATGGATGCTGAAGAAATCTTCCTCAGGGGCAGAGGTAAGAGTGAAAGGGTGCCACTCCAGTTTGGACACTATGGGACACTTGACAAAAATGTACTGTCCCACCTCCATCTTGAATCCCTTCTTCTTCATCTGTAGCTCAATGGTTTTGAAAGGGTGAGTGACCACCTATGGAACAAAACATCCTTAGGAAGAGCTTTTCCCCAAATATTTACCTTTTCAATGACTGTATGGATGAAAGGCTATGCTAAGATGCCCTACCCATGTCTCTATCTCAGGGTCAATGTAGAAGGTCCTCAGGCAGGTGTGTCTGTCACTGAGACTTGCCCTTATTTGTAGCCCATGGTCAGTGATGAGATGACAAAGGAACGTAAAATTCTGGTATGTCTCCCTGTAGGATCAGCTGAGACTGAAATTGCAACTACACTGTGGATCAGCATTAGCTTTTCTTTCTATCCAGTTTCACTCTTCCTTTTTTTACAGGTTCAATTGCTAAAACTATGCACATATATGTTTCTGGTCTCAGAGCCTTTACCAGGGGATCCAAACGTAAGTTATCAGCTTACTTTTTTTTTTCTCTCAGAAGTTATAGTAGGGCACAAAATAGAAAAAAGTGAAGTTCTTGCTTAGCCTTACTATCTCCACAGAGGGTGAGAAAAGACCTTTGAAGACAGACAGACGAAATTGATGCCACTATCCACTTATATAGCAATAGACTCTAAAATAAGCTAACTATTGTGTCTGTCCTTGTCCTGAATCATGACTGGAATCTGTTCGTTTATCTCTACCCAGGATAGGTCCTACTTGCCCATTGTTAACTTCATTATCCATATACACAAATGTTCATAGCAGATTCACCCAAAACAACATTGTTATGGAAATAACCCATGCATCCATCAACTACTAAAATGGCTAAATATCTTTAAAATGGATTTTTTGGAACAGGTGTTGTGAAGCATGTCTGTAATTTGAGTACTCCAAAGACTGAAGTAAAAAAAAAAAAATAAAATCACTGTGAGTTCTAAACTAACCTGAGCTACATAGCAAGACTCTGTCTCAAAAAACCAAATAAAATAGAACATAATAAACAGCAATACAGAAAGTAACATACTATTTTTGTCAAAGAGATAATTGCAATTTACTTTTTCATCGACAGATACATGGGTAAAGAAAATGTCATACATATACACAGTGGAATACAGGGTAAAATTCTGTTATTTACGACAACATGGATGAATTTGGAAGACATTATGCTAAGTGAAATGAGAAAAACACAAAGAAATACTGTATAATATCGCTAATATATGGCATCTAAAAAAGTTGATCTCATAGAAGTTGAGAGGAGAATGGCAATTGCCAGAGACTGAGGAAAATGGGGGTCAATAGGAATGGTTAATTAAATTACAGTTTGATAGGTGGAAAAAGTTCTAGTATTCTTTTGTATATAATAGGGTGGCTTATGGATAAAAACAATATATTGTATATTGAAAAGTTGCTAGAAGAGAGGACTGTAAATAGCCTCATCACAATGAAATGATAGCTTTTTGAGAATTGAAAGTATCAGACCACAGTGATATATGCACACCTATGTTTATAACAGCACAATTTGTAATAATTAAATCTTGGAAACAACCCATATACCCATCAACCAGGGAATGGATAAAAAAAAAATGTGCTGTTTATATATAACGGAGTACTACTCAGTAATAAAGAAGGATAAATTTGAGAGTTTTACAAGTAAATGGAGGTAACTCAAAATCATACTTGTAAGTGAAATATATCAGACTCACATGTATAAACATCATATTATCTCCCTGATGTGAAAAATTGAAAAGTAAATAAGATTTAAAATGTACAAAAGATATTGTGAAATGGGAAGAAATTGTTTAGAATGAAAAAGGAACTGGGGGGGGGAGAAAGGAAAGGAAAAAGGAGAAAAATGCAAGTTAGCTATACTATTAGTGTCTTCACTGAAAAGGAATGTTTGTGCTAATAACAATTGGAGAATTTTTATTCCCATATATTGTACATTGAGTAGCAACTTTGAAGATGATAATATGCAATATATTAAGTATTTTTATTCTCCTATTACTTTGTTATGAAATTTTGTTTTACCTTTTTCCATAAAATAAAAATCTCTAAGATGATAATATTTAATCTATTAACTGGTGATTTCTTACTGTTTTTTTTTTTTTTTGTAGTTCTGTATTACTTGTACCCTTACACCGCTTTGTTTTGTTTTGTTTTTTTCTCTTTTTCCTTTTAAATAAAATTTAAAAAAAAATTAAAAGATCAAATTTGAGGTGCAACTTGTTATTAACTTGCTTAAGACTTTAAGCACTTCAACTTTGACATTTTGTGGTTACATATACCACAGTGAAAAAGGGGTAAAATCACATTGGAAACTATTTCAACCCCAATCTGGTCTATCCCAGGTTCATTGGTTATTTCAACATCTGAAAATTTTAACTCATTTCTTTTCCTTTTCTACTCATAATTAACCTCATAATGTCTCTATACCTCTCCCCATATGAGGGGGATTGATATACATAAAATACTTGGGTTCATTTTAATAAAGAATGTAGCACAACAATTTGATTCATGAGTTGAATATATCGAATTAAACTGCAGATCTCTTATTTGATTTACTTGTATTCAAGGAACCTGAGAGAAAGGCAGTTCTGACCAATGGCAAATAATTTTTTTTTAGATTCTTCTTTTCTAGATTTAGAGATTCATACTAGTAATTCATAAACCAACCAATACCTTGGTGATGACCACTTTCTGTTGAGATCGCCAAAATCGAACCAACCTCTCACAAAGATACAAGAACATGGGACCTACTATCCATTTCCAAGTCTGTAATCAGAGAAGAAAAATGAAAAAATTTGTGAAGAGTAAATAATAAAAGATGTGAAGGAGAGAAATTGTACAAGTAAGATTAATCTTTGTAGACTTGCTTAAATATTTGACATTGATAAGTAAATATCTTCTATAACAGAAAGTATGAAAATAAATATCTGAAATGATAATAAATTGTTGATCCAGTAAAAGTGAATATTCTCCTTAGCTATACTGGGGAGCTATATCAAATAGGATGCAACTTTCCAAAGAGGAACTATCTACAGCATTTCCTCTCAGTGTCACAACTGCAGTTGCAATAACCCTACACTAGAGGAAGGTTGGTTTCAGAATTAACATTTCTCTATAAGACTACATTTCAGCAACATATTTTTAATGCAACATTGCTTTATCTCAGCTATGGAGTCAGAGATTAATCTTTTGCAAGATGACAAATTTTGTGCAAGAGCTTAGCTATTTCTTCAATATTCTGGTAAATACCAGGAGCTACACAACACATTTGCTGAATGAAGAAAACAAAGATTTTTAGACTTGTATTGATGCCCTTCTTGACAGAGTATGCATTGTTTCAAAAGACTGAGATTACTCTGTAGCATTGTTGGCTATATAAAATGTTTAGGCCAAATTGATAAATCCTGAGACTCTGCTAATTAGATTTCTAATTTAACTCCCAAAGTAACCAAAAAACGTTTAGAAGGCTGTATCATTTAAGGCATATCTTTCCAAAATGGTGTCCAAAGAGGAAAACGTCAGAAATGTTTCTCACATATGATCTTTCTATTAAATTATATTTTTTAGTTTTAATAAACAAACTGCTGGAAGTTTAGAGCACTTGAATGCCCACATCTGCAAGCAAAGTTGAACAAAATCTGCACTCGAAGATAAGAATGTTCTGCTGCTAAACTTCCTTTTTATGGAATAAATATTAGCATAGTCTTGCATCTGTTCCCTGGTTACCTTCATGGTGCCACTGAATGGAGCTAGATTTTGGCATTGTCTTTAATATATCTAGTTATTGAGAAGCTCTTTTGAAGTAGATGCTTGTCAAAGTACTAGTATAAAGATTCTAGCAGTCATCAAGGAAAAATTCTTTCCCCAACCCATAAGAAGACTGTAAAAGTAGCTCCTTTTTTGTGGTGTTGAGGATGAAACCCAGGGTCTTAAGCACATGCTCTTCTCCCTTTTAGCCTTCTATTCATATTTAATGTATTGAATGGGGGCTGTATACTGATATGCACAGTTGCTTTCATTAATAAACAAGGATGCTCAAAGATGTTAAAATTTAACAACATGCTATGTTCATAGGAAGGGTACTCCCATGCCAAGAGACTAGAAAAGAAGAAAGGAGAAAGTGGGATAATAAATTTACCTGTATGTAATATCATGCTTAAAATAAAAAAAGACTATATTGAAGCCCATGCAAATATGGAATTTTGTCTAATTTTACATCAACATTTAACATGATAACCAATAAAATGTACAGTCTACCAATGGAAAAAAAGATATGAAGATTACAGGACTCATTTGTAATGGAGTAGAGATATTGCTCATTCACAAAATGGGGCTCTTCAGAAAGTCTTATAAGAGAAAGTAAGTATGTCATCCTCCATCACCCTTGTCACACCTCCACCCTATTATGAGGTGCCATTAGGTATTTGTGTCAACCAGACTGTGTAGTCTCCTTTATGTCTGATACACTGGATCTTCCAATTCCTAAGAGCAGCTCAATGTGATACCTCATCAATTTCTTCCCAGTGCAGAAATCCATATAGAAAGTTTTAACTTCTTATCACCTGAAGAGGCCCTTAGCTGCCTAACAGTGATTTATCTGAGCGAGCTAACTCAGCTAAGGATAGAATCTCTGTATGTCTCACTAAAAATCATTAACTGGTGTGACTATTTGTTTATATCTGGTAATCTGAGTAACTCTTTTGAAGATAACTATGCAAAATAACAACCTTAGTTATGTTCCTACCACCTTGTTTTGAGCATCTATATTGTTATGGTTTTGGACTCTGCTGTTATTTATTTGTCTCTTTTGTTTCTTGTTTTTCATGTATTTTTCTTTGTTTTGTGTTGTTTTTCCTCAAATACAGAAAGGATAGATGTACATGTGTAGGATTATACATGCCTAGAATTTCTCCAAAAGAGTTTATGAGAATTGATTTTATTACATGTGATGGTATGAACAGCTAGTTTGAAAAAAGTGAGTCATTATGGTAGCCATTGCTGATTTCCAGAATCTTGTTTTGAAGTCCAATAATGCTTTTGTTCTTTGTTTTGATTGGCATTAGTCTGTTTTCTATTATTTGATTTCAATATGTGTGAAGGTGTGGACAGCTATTTCGAACACAACAAGAGACATTATGGTAGCCATTGTTGAATTTCCTATTATCTGGTTTTGAAGGCTGGTAGCACTTTTATTGTTTTGATCAGTGTTATATTGCTCTGTTTTGTTTGAATTCATTGTGTGTGAATATATGGGCAACTGTTTTGAGTTGAACAGGATGCATTGTGGTAGCCACTGTTGATTTCCTGTTTTCTTGTTTTGAAATCCTATGTTGCTTGCATTGTTTTGTTTTCATCTGCTTTGTTCTGACTTGTTTTGTTTTATTCATTTTAAAATAAAAAAAAATTCTACTCTATAAGTATTATAAGGAAAAGTAGACATTTATAGCATCCTCGAAGTTTTATGGCATTTGTAATGGACAACTCAATGACATTTGTACATTTCCTACACATCTTGAGATTACCAGTAATAAAATTTTAATAGCAACAGTGAATTGTACATACCATAGGAGGGTTCCCAGCAAACTCTGGGACTGGACAGTTCTTTATTTTCCCCCACTCTGTGAAATTTTGTTTACATATCATTATATTGTGTTCCTCCAAACTTTTTGCAGTCTGCCCACGCACAATTCGTCTGTGAGGAAAACACAAGTTTATTTAATTTACTAGCAACAAATCAAGATGTCTGTGTTTCTCATATTCTTAGCTTTTTTCTTTTTCCCCAATCTGAGGATTAAATCTAGAGCCTTATACATACAGTACTAGGAAAACACTCTACAAGTGAAGTATACCTCTAGTCCTGATTCAGGGCATAATTATATACCTTAATGTGAATCTTGTGCATTTCACTTATAGTTATTCTCCCTCTTGAACAGAAGAAAAGAAGAAAATATGTGATATTAAGCAATAGAAAAAATGTGTGCAGTGCCATAAAGAATATCTACATAAAGGAAATGGAATAAACCAGAAAAAACTGCCATTTAACAATGTAACTATTAGCCCATACATTGCCTCTGTGCAAATTAGAAAAAGACTGCCCTCTGTGGAGTCAGTCCTGCAGACAAAGAACTTGATCAGCAGAATGTGGGATACTTTTGCTCTTGTTGGTTGATCATTTTTTTTACAGTGGACTACTCATATAATCATAAAAAGTGGCTTTGAGACTTAGCTAAAGTGCTTTTTGGGGGTTCAAAAAACATCTCAATTAAGAAAAGAGGCTGAAATTGTTCTAGAGGACTTAACTTTATGGGAATTATGGCATTTTCATAGACTGATGTCACCAATGATGTCACCAATATGAGTAGCCTGAAATTGCTTAAAGCTCACATGCTTCAATCCAATAAATCCAATAAATATCGAGCAACTACTAAAATGTAAACCAATGCTGAGTTTATTGATGATGGAGGAAAAGAGGCACACAGTTAAGTAACCAATGTCCTTGACTTTATCTCTCAAAGAAGATAAATGGCAAAGACCTCAGACGATAAAAGAAAGAGAGATATAGCAGTCCCTTTGTAAAAGTTTACTTTAGAGAACCATAATCTATCATACAATTTATATGCTCTGAGAATGTTTTAATTCAATGTTATTAACTATCCTTTCTATTTCTATGTCTTAGGGAAGAGACCACATATGGAGCACCTATTATAACTAAGCCTGAAGAAATTAACCTAGATTATCTCAGTTAATCCTCATACAAACCTGCAAGGCAAATGTTATTAACCCATTGTTACATGAGGGTCAATAACATAAAGCATATTGTGTTTGTGAAAACAATTCTCCTTTGAGCTGGATGGTTTTGGGTTCAAATTCCAACCTTTAGTACTTCAGTCAACGTGGAAAAATTATTTACATTTTTGAACCTTGTTTTCCTTAGTTGTAAAATAAGTATAATCTCTCATTACAGGTTTATTTAGTAATCAGCATGATACATTAAAAATGTCGGGTACAAAACAAGAGTATAAAAATGGTAACTTTTATATTGATTACCAGATTCACATGGGGGTGCTTTCAAAGTCTGAAGGCCTGAATTTTCATGCCTGTTCAAGTGTCATCTTGCCAGGACACTGTGAGCAATCACCTAACCAGTGTAAGCAGCAGAATATTTTCAAATGGAGAATGAAGTAAATGAATATCTGCTCTAAAGGGAGATGGAGATTTATGACACTATACAAATGTTTGGTGTTCAGATTACTAAAGAATGGAGGGGAAAAATTCCTTCCATGCTCTAGGACTTTTTGAAGCAGCTGCATTACATCTAGATTCCATTTAAAGACACTCAAATTGATTTATCAGTGCTCAGACTGTTTATCAGGGGTTAGACTCAAGAGGAAGGTTACAAATGTACACAGAGGGTGCCTGATGATGTTTCTCCATACACTTCTCCTTTTCACACTCAACTCTTGACCCCAACAGGCCTGACTTGGCTTGAAGTAGGGCATTTGAGGCTTGAGCATCTAAGTTCCCTACCACTACTTTCTTAGAATCCTATACCCACCAGTGAACTTCCTTGGGTTTGCCTTTGTGGTCATGTGCTGTTAACAATAGAAAAAGGAAACTTTATATTAAAGAGGATCCCTGCCAAGCACACACCCACATACTCTGTGCCTCTGTGTGTACAATTCATCATACCCTGTGCTCAAAATCACTTCCAGCTGGAGATGGTTTGATATACATGTTTTACAATTTTTATTTTCAGATTCTTTGTCTAAAACAAAATGGGGATACTGAGAGTGTACTGAAATATTTTAAGGACTGAAAGAATTATGTCACATAAACGTTTTAACACAAAGCCTTACTGCACAAGTACTCAGAAGACCTTAGCTTTTACTTTTATTACGTTAGAATGTTGGAAGGTTATTTCCAGGTAGATAGTTTTCCTGATACTATTCCCTAAGAGAGGTCCTCAATTTCAGTAGGTTAATAAATGATAAGTAAATGATTTTTGGTTTAAATCAAAACTGATTGAACTACAGCAAAACCTTTCAACTGATTAATCAGTCTAATTCACTAGTGATTAAGCCACAAGACTTAATCACTAAACACTATAGACATATGAGACCCTACCAGTGCTCTCAATATGATCCATACACTTGCAAACATAGGTTTTGTCTCCTCAAAGCATCATGAAGTCATAGATGGGGCTTTTTCAGAGGTGGATAGTTCTAGAGTGTGTGGAATTGATTCTTGTTGCAATGCTAGGATCAAGGGAATTAAGGATTAAGGATGTGTGCCCAACCTGCCCTAAGAAGCCTGGATAAGATGTAAGGGACAAAAAGAGTAATGGCTGCCTTTTGCATGTTTTGCTGCCTTCTGCCTGCCATGAACTGTTTCTCCTCCACAATGGTTGTCTGTCATCCACTCTGCCTTGAAGCCAACTGATTATGTGCTGAAATCTCTACAAACTGTGAGCTAAATAAACTTTGCCCCCTTTAACTTTTGGTATTGGATATTTTATCTCAGCAACAAGAGAAAAGTAATTAAAACAAAATTTGATACCAAAGCAGTGGGGTCATTGTTCTGATTATACCTGACCATGTGGTTTAGGAGCCTTTGGAATTGGCTGGTTGGAAAGGGAAGAGTTAGGAAAGGTTTGGAAATGCTGGCATAAGAAGTAGTGCTGAAATAACTTAGGTTGCACCTGTTGGGACATTCTAGTCAGAGTTTAGAAGACCAGAATGCTAATAGAAATTCTGCTAGTAAAGACCAAGTTTAGGAGTTTTCTTCTGGGATGAAGGACTGCATTGGTTGTTAAACTACAGATCGTGTGTTTTATGCTTAGGCAGAAGGTTTGTCTGCATTTTGCTTACGTTTAGAGATTTGAGACTGAAATTAAGGGTGACAGACTAATTAATCTGGCAGAAGAAATTTCAAGGCAATCCAATGTTGGGGCAGTGGCATGGATACTCTTGAGGGATTTTAGCCACATCTAGAATCAAGAGAAAGAGCCCAGCAGAATGATTCAAAACACTGTGAGTTTGGCCGGAATGGAAACTCCACTAGAGCTGCAGCCTGCAAAGGTGGAACAGAGGAGATACATTGTGGCTTGTGCTGAGATTAACTGCTTCTTCTCTGCAAAGCCCTTCTGCCACCCACCCTGCTTTGGATCCATTTGATTATAGACTGAAACCTCTACAGATTCCCAGTTAAATAAACCTTTTCCCCTTTAACTTTCAGGAATTTGGTCTCAGCAATGAGAGAGAAGTAACTAAGACAGATAGACTTTGGTATCTTCTTTAATCTTGTTGTACATAACTGCACTGTGAATAGCAATTACTTGGGTGCAAGGAACCAAAGGTGTTGCTGACTAGTTTCTCTTGAAATGACTTCTGTTGTCTTTCCACATTTCTTTGGCAGATATGCTAACCACACACAAGCAATGAAGTCAACTCGCCTCTAATAGAGCACCCTGCATAGAAATTAAAGGACAAAACACCCTTGATTTCCAAATTAAAAACTCACTCAGCTCCATGGATGGCAAGACCAATGAAGAAGATGACAAATAGATGATGTGTGTACCAAAACACTTCAAAGTAAGACCTCCGGATGGTTTTTGTGGAAGAGGTGATAATTAAGATGAGGCAAAGTGTGATAACAATTCCAGTGACTCCTGCCAACCGAGTCACAGCCACATAAAGGCCTCCTGCAGGGTTCTGTAAGGTAAAATCACACATACAAATGCAAATTTTTGTAGGTTTCCAAATACAGGACTGCATATTTATAGCATCTAGTGCACAGGAATAAAATGAATTTTCACTACTCCTTTGGATAATCTCAATCACTGCTCAAAGAGAGATATAGATAGAGAATAGATATTTCTTTTTTATTTTAAAGAGAAGAAAATAAAAACAAGCAGATCAGAACAAAACAATGAAAGCAACACAGGACTTTGAAACAAGACAATGGGAAATCAATAATGGCTACCATAATGTTTATTGTTTTCTTTGAAATAGTTATCTATATCACCACACACAATGAATTCAAATAAAACAAAGCAAGGAAGTCAACTTACCTCTAATAGAGCATCCTGCATAGAAATTAAAGGACATAAAACTGATCATAACAAAAAAAATTAAAGCATTATGGGCCTTCAAAACCAGACAATAGGAAAATCAACAATGGCTACCATAATGTCTCTTCAAAATAGCTTTCCATCCCTACATACAAATTGAAATCAAGTAATATAAAACAGACTAAGTCCAATCAAAACAAAGAATAAAAGTATTATTGGACTTCAAAACAAGATGATAGGAAATCAACAATGGCTACCATAATGTCTTCTTCAAAGTAGTTGTTCATACCATCACACATAATAAAATCAATTCTTGTAAACTTCTTTAGGAGTTTTAGAGGGAAAAACAAAACAAAACAAAATACAAAAAAACAAGAAACAAAAGAGACAAATAAATAAGAATAACAAAGAGCCCAAAACAATAATACTACAGGCTTTTGTATATATACACTTAAGATAGTTAAGGTGATAGCACTACTAAATCTATTAGTTCTTGGAACAAAATAGTTAACATTCATAGTGTTAGATCAATTTTGCATGTCTTTATCTGGTAATCTGAGAAACTCTTTTGAAAATAATTATGCAAAATAACAACCTTTGTTATCTTCCTATCACGTTGTTCAGAATAAATATTTCTAAATTTTAAAGTGTTTTACATGGTTGAGGAGTCATAGGAAATAGGAATTAGTACTCTTAGATACTTCTCAAGGAGCATCAAACAAAGGAAGTCATCAACTAAAAGATGTCTTTACAGTGTGTGAAGCTTTTTCTCTCTTTGATCTGGAAATAATCATAGTGCTTAGTTTCCAAATATGTTCTGGGATTGCCAAATGTCTTAGGCTGTGTTCCCCAAGAATTGACCATGAGACTTATATTCATGTGTATGTGATTTAGAAAGAATATTTCATAAGAGAAACTGACAAGGGAATGAAGAATAAAACATAAAAAAGGTCAAAGCCAAGTAAGACAATGATATTAGACAAAACTTCACAGGGGATAGCTTCAGCTTGATTCTATAGGACAGTAGAGTCTTTTCTGATTTGAGATGAAGATGTTGGGATTTCATAGCCTACACTAATCAGTTATTGGCTAAAGGACTATTTGGGATAGGTAAACTATCCAGGCCCTGTTATACCTCTAGTTAGTCCCTGGATAGGTTTTGGAAGAAATATAAGTTTTACAGTATAGGTCATGGAAAATGAAAGTACTCTATGAATATCTGGGCAAAGAATGAAGAATGTAAAGAAAACAAATCCAAAATATTGTAGGAAAAAATGCATTTTTTATGTTACTTAATTCTGTCCCCAAGTAGATTAGGCAATTTTTTCTCATATTAACTCAAGGATAATAAATTTGGCAAAATTAAGGGTCTTTTGTTGTGATCTTTTTCTCAACAAAAGGAAATACACTTTTATACTGTGGGTTAGCCACCTTTCCAAGCCATTGAGCATATGAAAATGGCTTGGGGCTTCTTCAGGAATCTTTAACAACTGGTAGCATGGAAGAAATCCTTGACTTTGGATACTCTCATGGCTGCTCCTGGAGAACTGCTGAATTACTCCTAGTGAACCAAGAAATGACCATTAACAGCCACAGATTACCCCCAAGATGTTGCAGGTAAAAAAGGACAAAAGCATCACTGACAACTGTCAGCTTGTGACTGACATGACACTAACTCCTTGGTAGGGTGCTCCCTAATTCACATAAGTAATCTCATAGAACACAAAAATCAGATGAGGTCACTTTGTGACTTTGTGAGGATAACATTTAAAAAAAAAACTGTTCTGAAATCATATCTGAGCCTAGAAAAAATTAGTGGTTACTGTTTCCTTACCTATTATGGATTTAGCCCCATTCTGTTCTTTTTGTTCCCTAGAAAGAATTAAGATAGTGATCCTAGAACTATTTCTAGTCCTTTGTTTTAACATCTTAGGGCACACCTGATTTAGGAATGAGATGCTTACCTTGATTTTCTCTCGAGCAAAATTGAGATAAGATTCACCATCTTTGTCTCCAATTTTAGAGAGTGCTACTGAATAAGGATCAGAATTGCCAACTTGGGCATCCACACACCATTCCACATTGAACAGATGTGCTACAGTATGAATTGCTAAAAAGGGCAGAGAAAAGAAAGAAAGAGTGTGAAAAATATTCACAAATTTATTGTAATCTGGATTCTGATTGCAGCAGTCTAAGGAGACATAAGGATGGTTTAGGGTACTTATAAACAAGAACAGGATCTCCATAACCAGACAGGCAGGTGGATTATAGTGGATACGGTCCTTCTTGCTTGTATCATTGTGAGAAAATAACTTACCCTCTCTAATCTTAGCTGTCTCATTTGTGAAATGAATATGTTCTGCTACATACTCCTGAAGATTAACCAAGTTCTAAGGATTCTACAAAATTGCCTCAGTCTCTGAGAGCATTAGATTCTCTCTCTCTCTCTCTCTCTCTCTCTCTCTCTCTCTCTCTCTCTCTCTGTGTGTGTGTGTGTGTGGGGGGGGGAGGGGGTGTGTGTGCTCAAACAAGAAAGTTCTTCAGTAATGTATGCCTAATAGTTGGCCCATTCACCTGGCTCTGAAGTTACTTATGTGATTGAATTGACACAAACTAGAAGAATCCCTTAGAAAATCAAAGAACATCCTTTATTTCACAGTTGCTTGCATAGAGGTTATTGGGTGTAGACAGTATTAATATTTTTCAATTACTTAATACTTATACTCAATGATACAGGTATAGTTAAAATCAGATCATCTTACAGTTAGAGAAACTAGAGCATAGATTACATTAAAACCTTGCCCTAGTCATTATGCCAGGATATAACAGATGTAAGAATCAAATGAAGTTTGGCATACAAGTCTGTGTTCTTAAACAGTATACTACAATACTTAACAATAGAATTAGATCACACATTTCTGTGTAATTGTTTCATTTGCCACAGCTCAAAAAAAAAAAAACTTACATGATGTGGTAGGAAAGGAGGAAACCAGGTAAGCACCTGTCAACTAAACCTATTTTACTCAAGTTAAGATTGAATTCCTTAAGGCAAATTAAAGCTTTCTGTGTTCATTGCTGTGCATGTTTGTTGACTGGCACATGAATTATCCAGTGAGTCAGTGGAGATTGGTTAAGTGTCCTAATCATAGCATTTCTTGCACTGATATTACCACTTTAGTAAGTAATTATTGTTATTGTTATTGTAAAATAACAACATGTAATGTTATGCATACATATACCTATTATATATATATATATATATACATATATATATATATATACATGATGATAAAATCATAATAATACTGAAGACGTTTTGTGATAAGGGCTTTCCTATTGGATACTCAACTTGGGGGCTGATATTCCTGCAGAATGACTGCAACAAAATTTACAAGTCTACATGTGCATCCACACCATTTTGCAAAATGAATAGAAGCTATCAGTTGTGAATTAACACATATTTTGCATACTGAAAAGGGTGGGAAAAGGTGAGAACATCACGATACACTTTTCTCCTGGTATATTGTCTATTTTTACAGGAAGATCCCAAGATGATAAAAACATTAAGAAGCAAAGGAATAAATCTTAGTTTGGGATAGTGAAAGAGTTATGAATACTTATGAACAGAAACGGAATTCATTCAAAAACACAGCATATATGATTACAACAAAATTGACTTGTAAAGGCTGATATCTTACACATATGTATCAAAGAATAGAGGGTACTCTGGTTATAATTTCTCTTCATAATTTCAATTATATTAGTAATCTTACCAGTATGAAGTGCTATCATCCATGCCACCATTTTATGAAAAGTGAGGTTCCTATCCAGTTGTCTTCGAATTCTTGTTGAGCAGCACTTTGGGTTAAGGGAGAAAGAATGGCATAGAAATTGTTAATAAGAAGGATTTCTATATGTCAGATATCTGACACATCATCTCATTTAATTTTCATGAGCATCCTACAAAAGTTCTCCTTCTATGAATCTGATAGATGAAGAAACTGAGCTTCAGAAATGTCATCTTCCCCAGTTCAAATACCTAGTGAGTGACATAGCCAGTTGAATCAGTGTGTTTCGCATTCACATACCAGTGTCATGGAATTTTACCTGGATTCCACTGCTTATTTGTATAAAATGTGAATTTGGACAGAAAAGATAGCTAACCACATAGTTTCTAATGTGGGTTAATTCATTCAATAAACAGGGGATATAAACATGAATAAAAGTAGGCTTGCTCTCACATGCCTGAATCTAGTGGGGAAACTGACCACTGAACAGTTCAGGAACAAGTCATTAGCTCTCCAAAAAAAGTAGTCTAAGACATACACAATCTGGGAGGAAAAAGAATCTGTCTTCCCATCTTTATCAGAGACATCAAAAAGGAGATCAATGAATAAACAATAGTATAGCACTGATAAAAATTAATGGTAACATTCACCAAGAGCTTGTGCAAGGAGCAGCTTTAAGTGTTTTAAAAGGAATTCATTCATTTAATTCTTACATCAATCCTATTAGGGTGCTACCATTATGACCCCTATATAACAGGTGAGGAAAAAAAAGAGTGATTACCATTCTTTAGATCACACAACCAACAAGAAGTAGAGATGGAATTTAAACCCAAGCCATCTGATAAGAGAGTTTATATCAATATTCCAATATTTTATACCTTATATGTTTAACTTGACATTGAAAGTAATATTTTGGCCCATATTTTAGTGTATTTTCCACCTGCATATTTTAGATGTGAGTTTGAAGTTGGATTCAAGTTAAAGTTCAGAGGGAAAAAAATAACTATTAATGGATGAATTAGAATTTTGCTTTCCTAGATAGTAGCCAATTTCTGACTCTGGCTACTTGGCTTCAGAATTTATTTGTTTGTTTGTTTGTTTATGGTATAGTTCAGGTTGACCTTGAATTCATTTTTTTGCCCAATCTGGCACTCAATTTGCAGCAATCTTCTTGCTTCAGCCTCCTGAGTGCTGGGATTATAGGCCTGTGCCACTGTATTGGGCTTTCATTTAAATGCACTACTACAGAGATTCAGAAGACTTCAAGAAGATGACAGTTAAATATCAAAAAATCTTAGATATTTTAAATATCTGGTTGTAAACGGTGCATTCAATTTAAATATCAGGGGATTGAGTATTTGACTTACTTATTTAAAAAAATTATATTTTATACAAGAATATAATTGTATGGAAGACTGCACTTATTTCACCACTTTTCAGTTAACCATACCTAGGGTGGGCAGGCTGTGTAAACCATGAGAGTTGATTGTTCAAATTACAGAAATACTAGTAAGAAAAATGGTGAGAATTCCAAAAGGGAAAAGTATTAGACACTATTATGTTTTTTGTGAATCAGGTAATTTGCGCATAATCATTACTGCGTAGTGCTATGAAATAACCATATTTGTCTTCATCATATAGATAAAATTTAAACTAAAATGTCTCATTGACTGGGATCCAAGTCTATTTATCTACAACAGATTCCTATCCTTTTTTGTCCAACCAAATTCAAGGAAGTAATTACTATTATTCTAAGTGACTAAAAGTCTAAAACAAGTGTTCAAATTTGAGTACTTTATCTAAAAGGTGATCACAAATGGAGGGTATGAGAAGTAAGGCTTGGAAGGAAAGGAAATCAATAAAGGGTGCTATCTACCACTAATCATACATCAGTGGGTTCAGTCCCATCGGGAACATTAGGAGACTAAAGAACTTGTCTCAAAGGACATGGATTTATTTTGTTCATTTGTTTGTTGTTTAGTTTTCATCTAAATAGTTAGGAAGTTTAGGTGTCCATTTGATAAATCCATCCATCATTGGCTGACGGCTGTTCCTAGGCATTGACTTGCTAGCATTTCTGGTGTGCACCAGGAGAGTACTAAAGGAAAATCCTTCAGCAGAGTAGTTTGTGCAGAAGACAGCTGCCCCATGTACTGGAACTGCCCAGGATTAGGGAATACGATGGGATACCAATTCATTGGCAATGACTCTGTTTACCAGGGCAGTCAACTGTTGATTCAAGCCCTCAGAAGAAGGGTTTACTGTTTGAAATAACTTTATGCCTGGTCATCATTTTTCAAATGTTGTCATTTGTCCTTATTTCAATTGCTGAAATTTGGTTTAGTATTTTGTATTCTTTACAATATTAAGGAAATATCCTTTTCCTGTTTCAAAGTTGTCACAACCCTTCATAGTTTCTAAGTATCCTCGTGATAGACAGATTTTAGAATAACCTACAATGACCTTAGGTAATCTTCTCCCCTTGAATTTGGATGGGACCTGTGAAATGAGAAATCATTTTTGTGATTCTGCAGCATTTCATGGCCAAAGGAATTTTGCAGAAGTAATTAAAGTCCCAAGATGTTGAGCCTAACCTAGTCACATAAGTTCATTAAATCTGGGTCTGGAAGTCCAGGATGGAAGGACTCAGGTATTTAAAATACAAGAAAACTTTTTATACATTGTTTTCTGGCTTGAAGATGAATGGAGATGGATGAAAGAAAATGGAGCGACCTCTAAGATCTGAGAGTGGTCCCTAGATGACAGCCAGCAAGGAAACAGAGACATCAGGCCTAGCAAGTGCAATGAACTAAATTCTACCATCAAGAAGGAGTTTCAAAGAGAATTTTTTCCCAGAGTATCCCTATGAGAACTCATCTAGATGACACTGGATTACCATCTCATGATACCTGAGCAGAGAAAAAAGTCTCAGGGCTTCTGGTCTATAGAACTGTAAGCTAAAAAATGAAGATTGTTTTAAGCCACTGAATTTGTGGTAATTTGTAACTAATATAGTCCTTATTGGAGTGCTGAAACCAAATTGGATTTCTAAGATTCATAGAAAGGGCATTAGTAAGGTTAAAAAGCAGTAATGAATTACATACGAGTACAAGTTTTGCCTTCAGATATACCTATGTCAGGTTCCCAGCCCTATGACTTATTTGTGTGCCATTCAACAATGTATTCAGACTCCAGCATGTTCACCTGTATTGTTATTGTAGTTCTTCCTTCATATTCCTGTTACATAGATTCATTGAGCAGTGTTTAGTAAGTATGTCGTGTTATTTTGTGTCATTATTTAACTTTTTAGCTACTGTGTTTTAGGTTCTCATCTAGAGTGCAATTTTCTTATATAAAGAGCATTATAGGTGGCTGGGGATTTAGCTCAGAGGTATAAGCACCTGCCTTGCAAGCAGGCGGTCGTGAGTTCGATCCCCCGTACCGATAAAAAACGAAAAAGACAATAAATAAATAAATAAATAAATCAGGCAGCATCCACCTCATTTTTCAAAAAGAAAAACATTATATTATGTGATTCAAAAATTCTTTAATAATTATTTGATTGCACAAATGAATTGTATCCTAACTGCTCTAAAACAGAAGATGATGACTCCAAACCCACAGAAGTGTATTTACTCCCATTTCCACACTTTTTTATTTTATACTTCCTGAGAAAATTCTTTTGTGATTTGGGAGGAAAATTCAATGGCTCTTGCATAATAAATCTAAAGAATACTACTATGTGTTTATTGTAGCCTCTACACTTTTTCCATAGTATTAATTTTTTTCTTTTTTCCATGTTTAAGATTTTATTTAAGTATATTAGTGCATGGATGTAGCATATAATGTTTTCATTCCTTGTGTGGAGTTGGTATATGTAAATAACGTGTCTCAATCTTTTTTTCATCTCTTCTCCCTTTCCTCTCTCTCTCTCTTATTCCCTTTCCTCTTATATTTATCACTATTATTAACTTTCATGATCAAAAATGTAAGACAACAGATGATGATATCCCTTAACAACTTTTGCAACAAACCCTTAAGAGAAAATAAGCTGAATGCCAGAACAATGAGGAAATGTGATTGACAATTACAATTTACATTTAGCAATACTGTTTTATCTTAATAGGCAGTTTTTAAAAGCTAGTTATTATAAAAAATTTAATTAAATAAAAAAAAAACAGGGGCTACTAGCTACTATTGGGTCAGTGGAATAGGTCCCATCTGAGCCCTAATAATTACTTTTTCCTGTATAACTTTTTGGTGTGCCCAGGTAGAGTAGACAAACCCAGAGAAAAACTTCAAGCAATGCTGATACTGGAATTTAAAGAAAAAGATTTCACTACTCCCTGAGAAGGGAACAAGTTGAAGAGTTGGTGTGGTGAGAAACAAGGGCTTTGCTGCCTTTGATTGTCTAAGGCCTTTCTGTTCTGACCATACAGATATTATTTCTTCTGAATTATTGCCAGCCACCTAGCAATTACCCAAACTGCCATCATGTCCCATAGCTTCCTCGCTCACTGAACTACCTGTTTTCTATCAATGTGTTTAAAGGGAATTTTCTCTGTTACTGTCACCAAGAGCCTTGAAAAGCCTAAGCAAACTGTCATTCCAAATCAAGGGACATTGTCCAGACACTGGTACATTTCTATGCTTTATTGAAACCATGAATTTCAAAAAGTAAGAAGTTAAAATTAAAAGAAGTATATATTTAGTGAGGTGTAACCCAAGTTCTGTAGCTCTATTTTATGTACGTTTGGTCTTGCCACACAGACCATTAATATAACTGAATTAGATGTTTATATGTAAGCTGGAGAATGGCAGAAGCATTTACAGAACTCAAGCAAAGAAGCCAATCATAACATCCATATCTGTGGAAGTATAACATGTGATAAGTATAAAAGACACTATTTTTACAGCATTGTTTGTAACTTTTGAAGTCATATGTTTATTCTCTATCTTTTCCAGAAGACTAAACTCCTTAAGCTTGTGATCAATTCATTTTTCCTCTTCACATATGTATCTGCAGTTCTTAGCACATGGATGACACAAATATTTATTGTCAGTTCACTGATTGACAGACAGCATACTTTTACTGAAAGCATGCTATTCATTTCTCCTTCCTCTTCTTCATTTTCTTCTTTCACAATACTTGAGATTGAACTCAAAACCTTGTGCATGCTGGGCACGTGCTCCACCTCTGAGCTAGAGTGGCATATTTGTTCTTATATTTCTACTATTTGACCTATTTTTGAGCTAAAATGTCTATCAGACACAAGGTCTATGGGACTCACTCCAGAAGGCCAAATGGTAACATAGAGAGCCAGAATGAGACCTTCTAACTCCCCGACTGTATAAGGTAGCAAATAAGACCTCACCTATTCACCTTTCTCTTTTTTTCCCATCACTCTCTTTTACCTTTCTGCTTCTTTCTTATTTAAGTCTAAGACCATCATCAAGTTCAAAATTAGTTTCTACACATCAAGGTGGACTTATTAACCATTCCTCTGGAACTTCTGTATGCTGAGATCTGACCTTGGTTGAGAACATTTACCCCAACCTTCTATAGGTGGACTTGAGGAGGGACAACTCTGGGGATTTCTTCCTTCAGGTAACCAAAGGAATTGCAAAGTAAGTCTGAATGATTCAGACCTCTACAAATTGAACAGAAATTCTGTGGCTGTTTGTTTGGTACAGTATTCCATTAATAAGCCTTGGAGTTACAAGTTACATTTCTAGCCTGGGTTATTCAACATGCTCAAATGCTCTAGGTATAACGGCTTTTTAAGACTGAAATACAGAAGTAGAACAGATTCAAGAAATTTAGTTGGCACATTTAAAAGTGAATAGGCTCTGGGGGTACAATGATTTGATTTTGAATCCCCAAACTCTCATTGAATGTTGTTCTCACCTCATTGAATTGATGTGCAAATTTCATGAGATGAGTTCTAGTAAAGGCATTATGCTTTCCAACATTCATAATAGTATATTTACTCATTTTAATACCAGTCAGATGAAAATAAGTTCCCTTTTCAGGTTGGGAATCTTTTTTGACTATAAAAGAGTCTTGTGTATACAAACACACACACACACACACACACACACACACACACACACATATAGATTACATTAAGATCTATGTGATTACATGCAGCCTTTTTGCACTGCTGCCTTCTGAGATCCTCTCATAGCTAGAATAACCTAGGAGCTGCCAGTACAAAATGGGACATGAGAACTCAGTGGCAGTGCAAACTGGAGCTGTGGGGTAATAAGGATTTCTTAACTGGTGCAAACACTGCCTGTTTCTCAGGCTTTACTTCCTCTAAATAGAAAACATTTGAATGGGGGAAGGGAGAATAAAGAATTGTGTCTCCATAAAAACAAGAAGCTATTACATGCAGTGTCATTTAGCAAATGTTAATTGGGCACATATACTATATCAAATACTGTACAGTAAGTAACTCATTAATAAAACTTTCAGTCCAGTGGAATCTCATCTCTATGCTTTTTAGGTTATGGAGTTTATTTGGAAATCCTTGTAATTAATATTTAATGCTAAGTGTGGTTGTCAGGTTTTTGGTTTTGTTTGGCTGTCAGTTAGCAACAAATTGTGCAACAACATTCATGACTGAAATAAAATAAAGGAACTTCTTCATAGTCTTTTATAGAGGAAAAAGTTATGACATTTTTGTTTTGTTTTCTATTGATGTGAAAGTATTAGTTATTTTTGCCATGTGTATATGTATGTAATTTTTTATTTGCAGTGCTGAGGATTGGGTCTAGGTCCTTGAACATGCTATACATGAGCTCTATTATTGAGTTACACTCCCTCTCCCAACTCTTACCTTAAAATTAGACTGGCAAGAATTCAATTTTAGTAGTAGATTTAAGATGAAATGATACTTTGTTGATAATTAGTACAGAAGAAAAACTAATTGTAGCTTACCAATCCTACATTAGTAAATTGAATATTGCATGCTCTTTAAATATCTCTTTGGACCAAGGTTAATTTAGTGTAATTAGAAAAATAAGAAAGTGTTCATAGCAAGCTATATCTGTCATTTGCAGTATAGTGCACTTTCTTCTTCACAAATATTTAGTGCTTGGCAAATCAAGTAGTAAGTGGTTAACTCTACATTAAAGATTCTATTTGTCAGCAAAATCCAGCATTTGTCGTTAGCCTTATTTCAGAAAACTGCCATATACAACCCCTATGTTCCCATAAAAATAATTTGTTTCCTGTTCTTCTCCATACTTTCTACTTACTATGTATTTTTAAAAGCTTGTTTTACGAAACACATACATTTTATTAAAATGATAAAACATAGGATGCTAGTCACTAATGGGCCAGAAGACTGGGTTACACTAGGGAAACAATCTCTAATTTATCTCAGATGCCCCCTTTGGAATGGTCAAGAATGGCAAACAAAACTAAAGTGAATCCACAAGTACTGCTGATAGTAGATTTGCTAAAAGGAGATTATCTCATCATTTCCTCCTGTGCTTTTGCCCATGGCATTTTCTCTCATTTACACTTTCATGACTCTTATTTATGCCCATCTCCAATTAACTTTCTCTTGGAAGCCTCTGGGAATCCGCTGCCCAACCTAACACAATTTCTTTCTCCTGTTTACAGTCTTTATTTGATTGTTATCTATAGTCTTAATTTGTGAATTTTTGAGGGACCCATAATATTTTGCTTTGTATTATATTTGAGTATGTATGAACATTGTAGTCCCTTGATTTTTCTTTGTATATCAGTAAGAAATTTACATTATATTTCATAGGTTACAGATATCCTTCCTACTCAATATTTCTGTCTTCTGTTGTAGTATATTCAGGAGTTCACTAAAGTTTTGACATGAGAATGAAGCCTTGACAATTAGAAAGCTTTGTACCCTGCAATTTCAGGGAGCCAACAATTTTTAGTTATGTATCATTATAATGTGACTCTTTAACCATTGATTCTATCTGTTTGGAAATTTTATACCCAAAAGATACTTTCTTTGACATATTTTTTTTAAATGTGCTTAACATTTAATTTCCAAATACCACATGTCGGTTTCATAAAGGCCTGTTATTATGCACACATATTACATATATATATATGTATCATGTACACATGCTTTCTTACTTTATTGCTATTGCCAGGATATAATTTGGTTGATTGCTTTTCATATTTTATTTTCTAGGTTAATGGTTGTTCCAGAGAGTTACACCCACAAATAGTATCAGAAAAAAAAAAATCTACAAAAGAGGGTGCAGATTGGCTCGTGAATATTCTACAAAAGTATAGTCTCCAAGAATCATTGGTTTGCTTTCCCTAAGAAAACGCATTTTTCACAATGCCTTTGAAAATTTGAGGAGCTCTGTAAAATGTTTTCTCTTACCGCACTGGAACCCCTGAGGAAGGAGAGTAGATTTCGACACACTGGCAGCAGTATCAGCATGCAGTTGAAATTTAGGCAGGCTGCAGGAGCCCTGGCCCAGGCCAGCGCTTTCTGGAAGCAGGATAGAGAACAGAGTGATTCCTGTGGGCATATAATGACCCCATTCCTACTTTCCCAGGGTTCTTAGCATGACAGCATACACCACAAACTCCAAGAGATCTGTAAAGAAAAGTCTTTCAGAACTGAGGATTTTCTTTCGGGACCTGCTCCAACTCTGTTTTTAATATGAAATTGGCCCTTTACCTTAATTTAATATTTTATTGTGAAAAGTTGTAAATATAAGGAGAAACATAAATAAGTTTACTTTGAATATGTATCTACCTATCTCCCACTTGTATGTTTTGTATTGTAATATGCTTGCTTTATCACATATTCATTTTTCCATTCATCCATCCATCAACTCATCTTTTTTTGCTGTGCTTAAAAGTTGAAGATATCAGTTCATTTCCTTCTAAATACTTAAGCATGTATATCATTAACCACAGTTCAGTATCAAAACTGAAACTTTTAAAGATTTTAACATGTTTTCTTAGCACATAGCCTGACTCAGTAACATAAGTTGGCATGTTATTATGCTTTGACATTATAATTAGTTTTGTAATGTCTAAAGAAGTTGCATATTTTGAAAGGGAAAGCACCAGTGTTGATAAATTAACAAGGATTAGAATAATGCAGTTTAGTTATGTTTCATAATTATTTATTTATGCACATGATTTATAATATTATAATTAATATTGAGTAATTAATTCATAGTTTAACCATGATGCAATGAATAATGTTTTGGGGTGAGGTGCAATTATAATTATTTTCATTTTGACAGCCAGTTCTAAGGAAACTGAGATTACTAAAGGATCCAAAGAAATTCAAGCTGGTCTACTAAACGGATGTGGCTCTTGAACAAGTTCCTTAATGTCTCCAAATGTGCAGAGAGGAGAGGCTGATTTTCTGAAGTTGATTTCATAACATGTACCAGTAACAGGGCTCTCCATGCATTAAAGTGGTAAGGACCAGACTTAGAAAATCTAGAAAATCTTACTTGTCCTAAGCATGTCACTCCTGGATGGGTTATTTTAACATAGCCAATCCAGAGTTAGTATTAGATTTTTTTCTTTTAAGCTAAACAGTGACACATGGTTCTGGGGGAAAGGGGATGGCTCTGCAATGCTCTGCTACACTTTTGTTTGTCACACTGGCAGGCCTGAGAAGACTTCTGCCTAGGAAGCTGCAATGGAGGGAGTAAGACTGATGGTACTGTTCCAATTGGTCATCCTATTTGCTTAAAATATTAAAAGGGATAATAACAAGAACATCTGACTAGAAATGAGATCCAGCCAATTTTGCATGCAATGAAAGTTATACTTACCCCAAGAAGTTTTCTAGTGTAAAAGTACTTTGGTTCTTCATCATAAAGCTTGTAGTAATGGACAAAGAGGAAGGCATTTATCCCCAGCCACAACAGCTGCACAAATAGAAAAAATTGCCTGAAGTTTTCCCATCTTGATTAGCAGATTCCAGATAAGATTGGAGTTAGACAAAGATGAAAACTTCCCCAAATCCAGACTTTGACAATGGTTGATACAAAGCTGGGTGTGACCAGTTTAGAGCCAGCTCTTTCTTGCAATAGTGTCACTATACTTTTCTGTAATTAATCTTTCTACCTTGTGTTGCTTATTATGATTGCCTTATTACCAACCCATATTCCACATTATCATTCTAACTTCTCCTTTCTTTTTAATCATTTTTTTCTTCTCCATAGACAGATAGATAACACTGGCTAATCAATAAAATGAGAAGGGAAGTAAATGTGATGCTATTTGCCTGCCTACCAGTAAGCCATTGTGTTCTTTTATCATCTCCCTGCACCACATAACATACCCTCGACACCAAGCTTTTTATTCTACCTAATAAGTTTTACTTACATTTTGAAGGAAGGAAATATTGAGCATGAGTAAGAGATTGGGGCACAGTTCTTAAAGACAAAAATATTTTTATAGATTGTGACCTCTCATCTCATTCCAAACAGTGACTTTATCAAGTAGTGATACAGCCCACCCCAGTCTTCTACTTTAGTGCAATAATTTTCTTAGCTTCTAAATTATCAGTTATTGATCTTTTCTTAGCTTCTAAATTATCAGTTATTGTTAATGCCTATAATTAAATATCCATGATATTTGAGAAAAATCTCAATTTACAAATAAGAAAGTGCTAAAGCAACACCTGCATTTCCTGACCTTGTTGTTTTTTCTTAATTCTGGCTTTCTAAGATGGATCTTCAATTTCAAGGATATGATTTTCTCATTTAAAAAAAGGTAATTTCCTGGGGAAAATTGTGCTGAGAGCTAAAAATATAATTTCAATCGTTTCCTATAGGAATAATCTGTTCTTCAGCTGGAGATATGAAATCAACTTTATAGTTTCAAATCAACAGAGTTCTGAACTGCATTAAAATGTTGGTTTTGGCATAGTATATGATAAGATTATATCCAAAAGATGAGAAGTATAAAACAAAAGAGGCCTTTATTCTGAGAACACGGAGAGAGAAAACCAAAACACCCCCGGCCGCTGCAGTCCGGCTTTCTCTCTGGTGGACAAGCGTGGGGGATATATAAGTAGCCTTGGTTTGGGGTGGAATCGAAGGGGGTATTAGGGATGCACAGGTAGCCCATTGGTCTTTGTTTGGCGCCATAGGTAAATTCCTAGGGGTGGGGGAGATAGGAGCTCCTTGGCTTTACCAGCTATAGTATCCTGTCTGGGCCAAAACTCTTTCAGTATATTTCCAACAATAAAACGTTTTTATTTTATTTGTGCCACTAGTTTCTTTCTATCAGAAAGGAAACTCAAAGATCTTCATATATTCCATGATAAATTCTTACAAAAGTTCTATTCATAAGTGTACTTTTTAAACATCATGTTTTCACTGGTTGCTTAGCAGTTATTTTGAAATCTTTCTATTTGTTCTGTTCAAAGTTGCTTTTCTGAGACCATCATCTTAAGAGCACAGTTATATTACTTATGTTAAAAAGTATAGGAATCAATGTCTATTTGAAAAGTCTCCAAATCTTTACTTGAAAATTGTTTTTCATAAAATAGATTATATTGACAAATATATTATATATTACATATGCATAAATCTATATAAGTAACCTAAATTCTCTGGAATTGTATAAATTTCATAAGTAGCTGAAATTTATACCTCGGGGGAAGGTAGTAGTTTTCAAAAAGAAATTTGAGGACTTTTCTTTTAGTGTTATTATTGAAATAAAGGCCAGTTTCCCACACATGATCCATGTATCCATCAGTCCTATATTTGCTATTTGGAAAACGGTATAAAGTTTCAACTGGACATTTTAAAAACAGTTTAAACACATAAAAAGCAGGGAAATTTTCCTTTGAGTAATTAATAAGCAGTTTGGAATTAGGGAGTGAAGACATAAAATACTTTGTATTCTCTCTAAAAAATTCTAGCTAATTTAGTACTCCTAGGAACATAGAAATAAATTATAAGAAATGAGTATTTAGATACCATCTTTCCATGAAGGAATGTGGAAAAATTAATTCAGTCAAATATATGTCTGCTCACCCAGTAAATCAGTTTCTCAAAGAAACAAACAAAAACACTTTACTCAATTTTAGTTTCTAGGAAACTCAAACATGTCAGATAATTCATAAATCATCTCTTGTTGGTACTTACAATGACAACGATGGAGATTCCCTCATTCACAGCCCAGTTCCCCATGATGACAGAGCTTCAGTGTGCTGTGTCTGCCGTTCTTCTATATTGGGCTTCTTCTTCACATGAGGAAATGAAAACAGAAACCTTGGGGCAATATGTTTCCTTTTTTATTATCAGAAATTGGCTAATCATTGGTTAACTAAGACTCCTATTTCCATACAAATTTAATTCTTTAAACCACAGAAACTACAAGAGAAAATTTTATAATGATCCAATCACAACTAAACATATTGGAAAATGAAACCAAATTCTACAACAGAGATGAATAGTGTGATCAATGGGATGTATTTTACACAGTGAATTATTTTACTAATTAGTTATCTGCTTGCAATTTTCATGTCACTCAACTAGCCATGCCTTAATGATGAATAAAACATAATAAATGAGTTTTACATGACTTGACAGACTTTTACAGTAAAATTTATAGCCTCATTGAAAAAAGTTACTAGAGTGATGGTTAATATTTATAAAATGCTTATTATGTGCCAATTTTACAAGCTAAATATGTATATGTGCATAGGTATCTGTGAGTTAAAACATAGATAAGCATATGTGTATATACACAGAGGCATACATGCACACACACACACACACTTCAATCCATTTGATTCTCACAACTCGATACATAGAAACTAGGTTCTTTTATTATGATTACATTTACAGATGAGAAAACTGTTACAAAGAGAAGTTAAAATACTTTGGATATAGTCACACAACCAGGCAATAGTGGAGTTGGGATTTGAGAGCCCAGAAATGTGGCTTTTGATCATGATACCAGGGGGGAAAAAGCTTAACTGCATCAAACTGCACCCTAAATCACTTCACCTAAAACTATAGGAAATGAAACTCTAACAAAAATACCAAAATGTTCAGATGATAATCATCCTGGCAGGCAGACATGACATTTTCTATGTTACGTGTATAAACAGGGTCAAACCTAAAATATATCACATATATCATATACCAAAACTAGATGCAAAATTGTTACCCCCTTCCTGCTTTCCAGCCATCAAGATATGAAAGAGACAGGAAGGTAAGAACATGACTCTACTATAAAGTTATAATCAGCTAATTATCAAAGGTAGTTGTACAATAGTTATAGTTAATAGATAAAAAATATATATTGGAATAGTGGATGGGAACAAAGAATAAAAGAGAAACTCTTTTGATTGTTGCTAAAAATACTTGAGAATGGAATTATGACAAATAGTAAAGCAGTATAATATTGTTTCATATTATTGAAGCACTCCATATTATTGAAGAAATACTCAACTCTGACCGTGACGATTAGAACATATGTAACTCACATAAAGGGAGGTTGTTCTTTGGTTCCACTCCACAAAGATACCAGTTCAAAGAAGCTTAGATGAATAATCAAAACATTGTGTACCTCCTTGCTCTATTATTTCTTCTTCAGGCTTTACTTGCCCCACTGTGTTTTAGAAATAATTACATTTGGCAGGCTCTGTGTTTAGCTAAATCAGAGCATGGGGATCTAGAGAGAATATAGAGTGCTTCTTCACTTACATTTCAGTTTCAAGTGACATCCAAAGAATTATTGAATCTCCACTGAAGCTCTACCTCCCACTAGTCAACCCCCCTCTCTACCATGATACCTTACTGGCTAACACTACTGAAGGTCTTGATCTTGCCAGATGGCCCTGGCTGCTGAGCTGGAGTTATACTACCTCCTCCCAGTTCCTCTCTAACTCTGAGGGTGGTAACCACTTCCGGAGGTTCATCTTTCTGTACCCACTTTGGGGATTCTCCACTTTTCCATCATCCATGCAATCATTTCATAACATAACATTCTTCTTGTTAAAATATGGTGGCTGCTGTTTCTCTAACTGGGCTTTGACTAAATCGAAAGTAACTCAGATATGTACATATTTTCTCATGTAACTAAAGAAATAAGACATTTATGCCTAAAGAGCAGTTAAGAACTTTAAAGAACTATTCTCTCTGCCACTTCCAAACTCCTCCACAGGATGACTGCCACTCATTGTGCTCTTCCAAACTTAGTGTGAAGCCTTCTATTCTATCGTTTTCTCTGTTTACTTTTTCCTCCTTAATAGTTCATTTTCACTTGTCCTATTTAATTCTTCAAACCTTTTTTCATTTTTTTAAATCTATCTCTTGAAGCTTTTGCTCTACTGGAGAGTCCATGAGAAGGGGATCACGAATACTTGCACTAGGAATAATGCTTCATGATTCATATAATACTATTTGTTGACCATTTTCCTACTCCTTTGCTCACTTCTATAATTTCAGAAGAAAACATTTTGAAAAAGAATATTTTCCATAGGCAACTAACTATTCTCTGCTATTCTTTTTTTTCCTGATTTGTGAAAGTAATCATAGGGATGTGAGTAGGGGTTCCTTGAGAGCTTTAGGAACTTCAATCAGTTTCTCAACTGAAGGAAGAGAGACTAGATATAATAGAGTAAAATATTTTTATATGGGAAGTACTTCCCTTTTTGAAAACACTGCTTACAAAATGTAATGTTCATAGTTAAGCTTGAATGCCCAATTAGCATTATGGTCTGAAAGTATAACCATTTTCATACAAATGACTCAAGTTTATATTTTTATTTTAGAGTAGTATTCCGTGGTGTGCAAAGTCTACATTTTCTTTATTCATTCATCTGTTATTGACATATGGAATGTTTCTAAGATGTAGCTATCAAGAATTGTGTTGCTTTAAACAAGTGTATATATATATATATATATATATATATATATATATAAAATGGTGTCTTTAACTCTTCTAGGAAGATACCTAGAAGAGGAAGAGCTGGATCAAATGGAATTTCTAGTTTTATATTTTTGAGGAATCTCTATACTGATTTCCATAGTGGGTGAATTAGTTTACATTTCTACCAACAGTGGAGAAGGGTTCCCCACAGCTACATCTGCATAAATCAGATACGTAACTTAAATATCACATTTGTCTCTTATATTAGAAATATAAAGTAAAAATAAAGAATAAAATAAAAGATACTTAATAGGAAGTAGTGAGATAGCTCATTCTCAAAGGGGGAAAGGATCAAGAGATGGAGAGAGAGGAAAAGAGGTAACAGATAAGTAATTAAAAAAAGAATTGGGATGTGTTATGTACATGTGCCAATTTCATACAAAGAGTGTAAGCAGGGGCTGGGGATTTAGCTCAGCGGCATAAGTACCTGCCTTGGAAGCAGGCAGTCATGGGTTCGATCCCTGGTACCGATAAAAAGGAAAAAGACAAAAAAAAAAAAAAAGAAAAGAAAAAAAACAAAGAGTGTAAGCATTATATTCTGCAAAGATGTACAAAAAGAAAATACAGGGGTCAAAGGATAGGTGAAGTGGTGAGGGAGGAAAGGGAAAGGGGATGGAAAAGGGATTAAAATTTGTTATGTACATGTATCAACTCTAAATAAGTAGTGTGAGCAATACGTACTACACACATATAGTAAACTAAAATAAAAAATAAAGAACAGTAAGGTGTTAAGAAAAAAGTGTAATGTGTACTGCTCTTCAAAGACAGGCAGAAAAATTGATAAAGTAGCAAAATTTATCAATGGCATCAACTAGACAAGAATAAAGAAACTTAAAACTATGCATTCCCTAATGGCATATTTTCTCTCAATCCATTTGGCCTTCATTGTTCCTAAACTGTTTGTGTCAGGCTGGACTGTTGTGAAATTAAGCATATAATCACCTGCCTCAGTAGGCAATAATGGTTAACCACTTTAGGCTCATAGTTGCATCCTAGTTACCTCTGACTTAGCAAAAGAACAGAGAAGAGAGGCAGACCTGTTTTCACAAAATTCACTGATTGCATCCTGAAAGTGATTCCTTCCTGATAACTCAAATTTAAAATTAGGTTCCTAATTATTCCAAGAAGAGAAATTGCTAAAGAAAAGGAAATATACTACTATGTGAAGATTCTCAATGATTTTAGTCCTTGATACTGATGATTTTTTGTTCTTTTGTAACTCTTGTGTGCATCTCATATCTTGCCAGAACTCATGTTTTGCTTCTGATGGACCGGAACCCACACAAAACCAAACCAGACATTCTGCCATTAGAAAGAAGCTTTATTGGGCTGCAAGCAGGCTGCCTTGCAGATTAAGATAGCCCCATATGGCTTGGGGAAGGGGTTTTTAAGGGTTATTCAGGAAGGGGCATGCCCTGCAGGTGAGCCAGGTGCGAGAAGCAGAGTGTGACATAGTCTTCATTGGGTACCCTCCTGGGCAGGGTTGACTTTTGCGGTTGGAACAAAAGGGAAGTTTCTTTTTTTTTGAAACTCAAGCATGAACGGCTCTGAAGACAGGCTTACCCTTTAGCTGCTTCAATGGGTGATGTGCACCCACATTCTCTGCCTAAGGATGACTACTGAGAAGTCTTCATCTGCTGAAAAGTGTTGCAAGTAATCATCTCAGGTGTGGACACTTAATCAAGACCAATTAGCCTTTTTCATGGGGCAGGGGGAGTTAGGACTCTGAAGGAAACAAGGTCAAACCTTTCTCTCTTCACCAGTGATATAGGTCATCTCTATTATGTTGTGTTGAAAAACTGTGTGAGAATTCTATCAACATAAACAGAATCAAAATCAGAATTAATACCTAAGTAAGGATGGGAATATTTGGAGACAAATATGATGGCAGTTTTTGAATTCTTGAGTTCCATCTTCCCGAGATATTTGGAGATCTGTTATTCTTGCAGGTTGAGGCTCCTGAGAAGCAGACTCTGAGATAGAGATTAGCACACATTTCATTATAAGGAAGTGTTCTCAAAGGTAAATGCATGCTGAAGGGAAGTAAAGACAAAAAACAGGGTGGACCAACAGAGAAGTTGTATTATATGGTCACAATAAGGCCTCAGCCCTCAGTGGGGAAATCCTGAAGCAGAATGACCCAGAGTGACCTTGGAAATGTTCAGCTTTACTGAGACAATTTCTATGGGTGTTGACAGTAGGTTAGTAAGCATTTCATTTTTCATGTTAGACCTGTGATGGCATTACAATATTTTAATACAATGATACAAGACAAAAGGTATTTGTATGCTTTAATTTATCAGAATGAGGAAGAAAATGGCAAAATAACTCTATTTAAATTTAAAACTTTTCAGTAT